TATGCTAACTGATCCGGCTCATCTTGATTGAATAAAGGTGATGTGATTTGCTTATCTAACCCCTGATCCTTCAAGTCCTTATTCCCATCAATGATTTAAATCAATTCTCAACCAGATTCATTGGAAAATTGTGAAAGAGGTGATTTTGTATAGCTATACCATACGAGACACGACTTGTAATTGGCTTGCCAAAGTGGGATTTATTTCTACTAAATCAAAGGTTATATATAAAGTAAACTCGCACACCTTTTCTTAATCAACTAGGTAGAAGTCAACAAATATCTGAATATTATAAAATGAGAATGACTTACCGCCATTTGTTCCAAGAGAGGCTGGGTGGACATGATATGGCAGCTTAGCCGAGTACAACCTAGGTGGCCCTAGCAAGGTAGCCCACAGGCTGCCACAACTAAACTACACGCGAGCCCAACCCGCAAACGCGAAAATTTTGCTCCTTGTGAGCTACCTCCAAAAACCTAGGTTGTACACCATATCTAACCAAGTTGTCCGTAGCTAAAGACGAGCTACAATACTTGAAACCCTGAAATATATGAAAACACCACAATAATACAACCATGAAATAAACGTTTTGTTTTACATGTGTAAAAATTTGGCCCATTAAAACTGATGTATGAACATAAATGTCACTGGGACTGACCAGGATATAATTCATTATTGTTCTTTTCTGAACAAACTCACTTCAAACTATCTGTAATACTTTTCAGAATCACAATCTAAAGATTGGTTCAATCGAGTAAGCAAAATTGTACCAATGGAAGATTAAGTTGTCACTTGTGGGTGTCTAGTAACAATCTCACATGTAGCAAGAATCAAATGACTTCATCATGATATCTGTTGCATCAAAGGTTATCAGACTACATTGAACATTCTTTTCAAGAAAGGATTATACGCGTACGGTTTATTTGTATAGTGCTCAATTTTATACCCTTATAATGTACATCTCTGATATACTAACCTCCACGGGAATGGTATCCCAACTGTGGTGTATTAACTCAATAGCAAAAGCCACTATTGAGCACCCTGGCCTGAAACGAAAAGACAAAATCATTTGACATATTAATATTATGTTGAATAGTTACGCATCCTTTTTGGTCGTCAGGCACATAAAGAAACTTGGACTATTTATATAGACATTTAGGGAATTATGACGAAGAGATGTTATGAAGTGGATTATTTGCGGATTACATTATTTTCTAACTAAAGGGTACAGCATTCTGAAAATATCACAATATTATATTGAGCTGAAATTGTCATCGGCATATGTCTATCAGCAGTCAAAGGTCTATCGGTGTCTGGGTCGACTTATTCTCTCATCCGAAGGGGCGAATGAACTACGATTAATTAGATTATGAGGCCGGAGGGGTGGGGAGGGGTAAACAAAATAAGGCAAGGCACTTTCCTTTATTTTCATAAAGAGTGTAAAAAAAAATCTGAGAAAAAAGGGAGCCAAAGTCTTTTCTATTCATAATATTCCTTATTTTGAGTCCTAGTTAAAAGCCAATCTTTGCTTCATTTTTATCTCAAAAACAAGTTGCAATGGATTTTTGCAATGAGTCTTACATTAATATATTTAATACAATAAATATTACTTTTACAAATCGAGAGGAAGAGGACATTTATTGAAATTTATCTAAAATTTCAGGAAATTTAAAAAAGTCGACTTACCGGTTGCTATAAACAAAGCAGACTGACTGAGCGAGTAGTCACTAGTAACCAGTTACTAATTGTCTTGATTACTATTCAATTAACAACATAGTCCGAAACGTGTTTTTTCTTTCTTGCCTCTGGTAAAGGCAATAGTTAAAATCAATTTAGAAAAACAAATCATTTCTAATAACTATAGAACCTAGAATATCAAATTACAATAATATCCATAAAGTTTCCATGGAAAATCCATTAAAAAAATCTTTAAAATAATCTGCCCCTAAAAAAGAATTATGGGCGTTATTCCTGAAAAAAGACCACAGAACCAAGGAAAATGACCAAACTTTTCCAAGGAACTCAATTTTGCTAAAAATTTGCTACTTTCCACCTATTAAAATCGAAAGTACCAAATTACAATCACAAGTCATAGAATCAAATACGACTATTACCCATTTTCGACAAATAACCCTATTTCGATCAAGAATGTTTTTTTTCCTACATATTACATTCCAAGGACTTAAAAAAACACAAGAAATCAAACGAAATTTTCAAACTAGCTTTAAGCAGAACAAAACAGAACAGAAAATAATTTTTTACATTTTTAATGCATATTGGCCATAGAGGCAAATATGGCCTATAGACAATTTTTTTTCAAATACAAACTTTTGGCTCAGGTTTTGATCTTTTTCAAAAAATCCGGTTTTTCATGAACAAAACTAAAACGCTCAGTGCTTCCAAAGTAAGGCAGATATGGAATCGCGGTTTGTGGCATTGCAAAGCTAAGATTTCTAACTCGTACCTGTCCAAATTTCATCATCCTATCTCAACTGATTTGACCGTGGTGAAGCTGCAAAGTTTGGATTTTCAAAAAAGGCAAAATTGGCAAATTTCAACAGGTACCAAAATCCATTTTTGGGACTGCATATAGCTAGTTTGAAAACTTACAGATTTGGATTTGATTTCTTGTGTTTTTTTAAGTCCTTGGGGTCTTTTTTTTTATCTTGTAGAAAGTCCTTGGGGTCTAATTAGTAGGAAAAGATCAAAACTTGAGCCAAAAGTTTGTATTTGAAAAAGTTGCCTCTATGGCCAATATGCATTTCTGACATGTCCAAATAGTCCATGTGAATATTGGTGCAAAATTTCAGCATTGTATCTTTGTCAGTTTTGACGCACTTCTTGTGCACCAATATGCAGACTGCATATAGCTAGTTTGAAAACTTACCCTCACCCCGTCACTAAAAAGCCATAACTTCGCCAATTTTGACCCCAGATGGGTGTGGACCTTCAGTGCAAATTTCAGCTTTACATCTCTGATAGTTTTCGAGCGGCAGCCTGTTAAAGTTTTGGTCTTCACGCCAACCAGTGCAACTAGACTCTAGGGTTAGGTTATGCCGACCCCACCCCTCACTAAAATGGCCATAACTTCGCCAATTTTGACCCCATAGGTATACTTTTTGTTGCAAACGAAAGTTGAACATGTCTACTATCTATTTCAGTCGAAAACAGAAATTCGTATTTTTGAAAAAGTTTCGAGAAAATCGACTTTGAAGTTTCACCCGAATTTTCAAGAGGAAAATCGCATATTTTTTGGTTTGGGGAAAAAGTTTGAGACCAAAAGCGCTGTAACCGGCAGAGTTTTCAAGATAAGAAGCTGAAATTTGGAACAATACAGCCTGTTAAAGTTTTGGTGCAACTAGACTCTATAGGCAGACTGCCGAACCCCAATCGTCCACTTTTACCCCTTTGGGCTCACTGGGGTAACAATTGTTTCGAGCCCATTTAAACCCCTGTGCTATTTTTTTTTTTTTTGTTTTTAGCTGCCTTGTTTTTAAAAAGTCACAGCTCAGGAAAGAATTAAAGCTTGTTCAAATGTACGGTTTCCGCATTTTTTTCCAATCTATGTCAGAACATGGTTACTTTTCCATAGACTATACATTGAGATATGTCATGCGGCCCCATCAGCTGATCAAAATTTACAAGTTTGTAAGGTAGCATCGACGTATTGACGTGTCTGGCGTGTTTACTGACGTGTTTGACGTATATACTGACGAGTCTGACGTGTTTACTGACGTACTGACGTGTGACGGAGACCTTACTCAATTCATGTAAAGTAAGCAACTATTAGAATATCGTCATGGAGCAAAAGGGAGATCATTTTTATTTTAATATGGTCTGATCTATGTGTGTCTGTTCCTGAGGAAGGGTGCCTTTGTGCTCTTGAAACAAGTTAGACTTTAGGACTACTAAGTTTTTTCTATAGCAGATTATTTTTTGAATGTTTACCCATGTGTTGTGCTATAGAGTATCCACATTATTTGGATTAACTAAAAATTGACCAGTAAAAAACTTTGTGAAATGGTTTGTGTGTCTTCTATTTTATTGAACACATATCTAAAAAGTTTTGGTGTTATAAGATCAAAAGCTGGAATTTTTTAGTTAAAACTTTCAGATACCTTAAGAAACACATTTCTCTAGATTTTGGTGTAAATTTTTCATAAATTTAAGCAAAAAACATTTCAGCTCTCCCACAAAATATGCTACAGCATTCAGACATGGAGTAGAATAAATAAAAATAAAGATAGTTTCAATAATTTTTACCAACAATTCTTTCTTAATAATAAATATTTTAACAAAAATAAATTATTTACACTTCAAAAGATTTGGTGAAAGGTTAAATTGAAATATTATTTTAAACAATTGCCACCAGACAAAGAATAATTATGAAAAAGTACATAGGGATGCTATTCCATTTGTTTAACACTACATTGAAACAGAATCTAAAAAAACATTGTTGTTATGCTATGCGATCTTCAGACAACTGATCTATTTCGGCCTGCATAACTACTGAAGTTGGACAAGTATAACTTATTCCCATGTCTATACTGGGTATAAACACTACGCTGATATGAATGCATTATGCGACGTGCCAAAATGATTGAAAAATCTGGCACAACAATTGTCAACTGAGAACTCAAACCAATTAAATGTCATCAACGTAATACTGAGCAATTAGGCCTCAAAATCAATAAGAATCTCACCTCCACTAATTAATGCTTTCAAAAGTTTTAATGGGGCCATGCTTACTGCCTTGAACACATTTAATGGCAAAATCACTTAAAATTTTAAGTGGCAAGTTTCAAGATTTTGACGAGCAACTAAAATGATATGCAAAATAGATTTTATAATAGTTCAAAAGAAAAACAAGTTCACTTTCTTTTGAGGTAGAATAAATAGTAATTGAATCTATACAAACTTGACATACAGTGTGTTGATCACTACCTAAACTACCTCAAAAGTAAGTGGACTGAACTTTTCATCCAATCAACTTGAGTGTGCATATACACCTTTGTCTTTACTGATACAAACATTAAAGGGATTGTAAAAAGGTTCTAAATTTTTCATGTGTATCAGGGACACCAATTTTCACCATTCTAATTTTCAATCAGATGTCTGTGGTTCCTGCAATTTTAGGAAAAACTAAGTGTTTAATGTCGTCACATCCAAAAATGCTTTATAACATAAGGCCTTTCGCGATTAGGGATGTAATCAAACATTTAGTTTTAGTGGAATTGCAGGAAATGCTATCAGTGTCCCCGGTACACATAACTTTTTTCTTTAGAAAAACTCTTTACAATCCCTTTAAATAAGCTACCAATCATTCAAATTCAGACCACAATATATATATATAGTAAATAAATATCTGTAATTAAAAGTATGAAAATAACAAACTATAGATTTTAAAATGTTTTGTTTAAAAATCAGTGATTATTTTCATATAGCTTGTGGAATTAAATACATTTATCAATAAATAAACAACCTTTGAGAACATGCAGCTAAAAATAGGATAACAGAAAAACAACTTTAAGAGACAAATACACAGAGAAAAGCTGGCAAAAATTAAATCAAATAAAATCAGCTAATTTAAAATAAGATAATTAAAGGAACACTACCTCTTAGAATGGACATAAAATTTCTCAAACTTGGTCATATATAAACTTGAGTATATATTCATCAGTTGGACTTACCAGATGTCATTACCAAAGAATAGAAACTTTATATATCGCCTAAACTAAATAGTTACTGAAACACACTTCTAAGCATGTTTCAAATTTACTTAGTTTAATGAATTATTACTTTTGGATTGAAGAGTAATTCTGTATTATCATTTTGACACCAGATAAGTCCACTCATGAATAAAGACTCATTTTGGTCAAGTTTAAAATTTTCATTTTTTGGGTCATCCTAAGAGGCAGTCTATCTTTAAAGATTTTTTTAAGAATGATTTACAAAATGATGATAAATGACTGTTGATTTCTAAGGTCAACAATAAGGTCAAATCATTATTTAATCTAATCAAAATTTCATTTTTTTTGAAAGAAAATGCAAGCCACTCCTCTTTACACCACAAATCATAAGTAGCATGAATAAAATGCATGTTCCTGTCTAAATATTTGTTAAAGGGACAGATGCCCAGTTTTATTTACCAATCATATTTAGTTTTACTAATAGTAAAAGTGTTCACAGCTCAACGTCGAAATTTGGGCCTTCAAATCCATGTGTGTCCAGAATGTTAAAATGACAACTCGTCATGTATATGCACTTCTGAAGACAATTTACATATATTCAATACTCAAATCAACCCCCTAAAATGGCGCAACTGTCCCTTTAAAGCAGTTGACAGAGTCCGACTGAGCTATCAGTATCACATGAGCAGTTTATATTTCTGAGCTTTATATATCGATTATCGTGAAAAATGTCAATAGGTTAAGGCACAGATTGTGTATGCTTATTAAAATTAAGAAATGCAGAAATCCATAAAAACAATATGCAAGTATAAGCTACCAAATACCACCAAATCCATATAAATCACCAACTTATCCACGAAGAAAGGACTCTTTATTTGGAATATTTCACTTTTGATAATAATTCATCGATATTAACTGATCTTAAATCTATACTTTTCTTCTTCTTCATTTTCTGAAAAGACAAAAACAAAAACATGATTTATTCCAATCTCTCAAAGTTCACGGTTGAGATATTGTCATAAAGTGTCCATTGCCAAGCAACTATTATAGATTTCAGAGAACGATTGGGCAGAATTTATACTTCATCAGAATATTCAAATATATATGAAATGACATGAATCAATGATTTGGCAAAGGATGTACGTCTACATCAATGAATTATGACACCTTCCTGAAACTTTGAAAATTGCTTAAAGATGGTAGGAAGCATCAGAATGCTCTGAAATTTTTTTTTGAATATAAATGAAACATATTAGTAACTTTCTGTCAAGTTTCACATCGATGGCTTACGGAAAAGGGGGTTGATGCGAAACTGCAACATTCCTGATAATTCAATGGAGGCCGTCATTTGCAATCACCATCCTTTTAAACCAAATGTTATGAGATTCCTGATTGGATAAATTGAATGGTGGCGCATGGTCTGCCAAGGGAGGTTATTAGTCTCTAATGATGGGAATATGGGATTGTTCATGGAGTGTAATGGGTAATATCTACCGTTGCTAAAGGAACCCTTGTACAATCAGGATCATTGCTAGGATTAGAGATACTAAATCATCTAAAAGCTTGTCTGAATCAAAATATTTCATACAAAATAGAAAATTGTGCTTACTTTCTTTTTTGGTTCAGAACATATATTGGGTGACTAAAAATAAAAAAGAAAATTCATAAATCACAACAAGTTTTGCATTAATTGATGACATGATTACCACAATCTCTCTCATCTCATCAAGGGGTTAGCGAATTTCACCCTCGAGCCACAATAGTATACAGCAGTGATTTTATCAGAATTTTTGATGGCTCTCTTAAGATCAAATTGAATAATGAAATAGATAGTCTTCAGATGTCTTAAAACAACTAACTTCTGTTCCTTGTGGTGGGTTTGAATCATCATTCTCAGAATTAAAGTCCTGATATTCCTGCAATTGAGATGACATAAACCATTGACACCATTGAAGATTTCTTTGAACTTAAAAGAAATTAATACTTACACTAGACGAATCAGTATTAAAATCTTCAGCTTTTCGTTTACCACTGGATAAACTTGTCGGTGCCATTACAGAAGCTGGCGGTGCAGCTGATTTGATTTCTTTTGGAATAGAAAGATCAGTTGGTTCTAACTGAATATTAGTTGGCAATGTTTCTCCACCATGCTGATTTGTCCATGGAACGTTTTTTTGAACAGCTGTATTATTTTGAACTGGTATTTGTGAAGATTCACTAAATACTGAATGATCTTTACCGAATTGTTCAGAGGATAAAGAGCTTGGTTTAAAAGGATCGCTTGAAATAGATGCAAAAGAGTTCAACATGGACAAAGATGCTAAGACTTCAGCAGCAGCTTTGGTCTCATTTTGATCAGCTGTCACAAACTGATTACTGACTTCGTTGACTGATACAATGTTAATTTGGCTATCTGTTGATCCAGCAGTTAAATCTAAGGGAATTCCATAATCAACAACATTCACATCTTCTAAACGCTGATTAAATTCTTTAGTATCGGCATCCAAAATATCAATCGCATCCACAAGGGCAGTTACTCGAAGGTTCTTTTCTTCAACCATTTTAGTTGCTGATGGAGGAGGCATTTTCTTTGGAGTTTCATTTTTCTTTCGGCCTGAAGATTTAGTTTTATTCTTCACAGGTGAAGCCTTCTTCGTAGTTGGGTCAGATTTCCTTTTAGATTTGGACTTTTCTGTCTTTGCTTTTGATTCAGTCGTTGCTTTAGGAGTCTTAACTTTGCCAGCACTTTTCCTTCTTTCCTTTGATTTCGGCTTATTTTCAAGTTTGTTCAGTATAACTTTAGGAGACATATTTTGAATAATCTGTGATTTCGTTGAAACCGAGGCCTCAGGGTTCACTATCGTAGCTATGGGTTCTGCAGGTTGATTTTGTTTGTTGAGTGGTTTAATGGTGGTTTGCCGGGGTAGCAAGGGCCGAACTTTCAATTTCTCAACTTTTTCAGGAGTACATGTACTAATCTTTTTGGGCAGATCTTTTTTAGATTTTAGGTCACTTTTTGCACATTTATTTAATGATCTTTTTTTCTTCGGATTCTGGATATTACTTGAAGATGGCTGTTCACGTCCAAAATCTAAATTCCTTACATGGCAAAATCTTCTGGACATTTGGCCCATTGGTACTGCAGTGAAAGGGACATCATTGACAGTTCCATGGATGACATTAGCATCAGTCTTTAATGGACTTAAGGAATAACACAAAACAGAATCATCATCAGCTTTTGAAGATGCAGTTTCAGTTTTTGGAGAAGCTTTGGTCACAGTCTTACTCAGTAGATTAGGTTTTTTGAATTCTTTTTTGGGAGATTTAGCAGAATTTTCGGAGAGGGAACATCCAGGTATTGAATTGGGATAAGGAGTACTGGACGCCAGTTTGGTATTTTCATTAATAGGAGTAATTGGCGATAGAACAAAGGCACTGTTCTCCTCGATAGCTTTAGCCATTGAGCGTTTGTTATGAGCTAGTAAGTGGTGTCCACCAGGGGAAAGGGTGATATCAGAAACACTGGTCTCGTTGAGTTGTGTCTGGGTTAAATTTGGATAACCGGTACCTATCAAGGTTGACTGTAATGGTGTAGTTAACTCTATGGTACTGTGTTGACTATTATCTGAATGTCCTTCACTAAAATGACTATTTCGACTATTAGAATTAGAGGTAGGGGGAGGAAAATGTTTACCACGCTGTGTACCACTGTTTAACTGTTTATTTTCAGGTATAATGATCAATGGTTTCTGCGGTGAAGCTATTTTTCCATGAAGCGGTAAAACTGAAAAAATAAAAAGATTATTCATTAGTAATTTCAAAATAAGATCCAGGCCATGTATTATCAAAAGCACTAGGATATCCTGGAAAGAGTGTTAGAAGTTTAGACCCTAGGACATCCTAGCCCTAAGATCGTTTCGAGAATGTGCAGCCAAGGCCCTTTCATTACAAAGAGCGCACATTTGCATCTAGTCAAATGATTGTCCAAAAAGCCAAATCCATAGGCCTTGTGCAATCATAGTTTATGTCAAGGATATAAATATTCATCATAAAATGCACATTTGGATAGCAAATTTCACATTTTTAAAACATGCTTTGTCCATTAGAAGATTTCTATCTGTACTTGCCAAGACATTAGTCTTAGAAATGTCAACAATTGCACTTAAGTCTAGGGAAATCTGGGTCACTATCAGACTATAGGATGAAATTAGTTCAATGTTGGTGTAAAAATATTCTGTATCTTGTTTAATTTCCGTTGAAATTCCACTTACTTTCAGTTCCATTTAGAGGAGTTGGTGTTATTCTTTTAGGTCTTCTGATCTTTGCAGTTCTCTCTGGTGTGGATACTGAGTTGGCATCAGGAGAATTAATTGAAATCACAGATATAGCTGGGGAATTAATACTGGCATTGTTATACATACTACATTCTTGGTTATAAGCTGACTGACTATTAGAGTTACTATTAACATGAACTGAGGCTGGATAACTCAGTCTATTCACTGGTTGACTAGGATTACCAGTATTACACATAATAGTTTGTGCTGAAGAGCAGTTATTTGGTGCACTATTTATAACACTGTTCTTGCTTGATTCAGAACTTAGCTGGTTTTGGTAACTTCCACCAGCAGGTTGAATATGAACATCATTGCTGTTGTTTATTGTTGATGTTGTATTATTGCAGTAGTACTGATTTTGAGAATTGCTGCTGTTCTGGTTCAAATATTGGGAACTTAAGGGATGTTGTTCTAGCTGATTTGGATTTTCTGGATTGACCAAGAAATTTTCTTTAATATCAGTTGGTGTATGTACTAAAAAACAAAATTAATTTATACTAAGTACAGGCTTTTGTGGGACCCTGTTGTATCCCCTACAGTTTTACCTGCCAAAGGTATTTCAACATTGACAGCAAGAGATGTCATTAACTTGTAAATTATAATTTGCTTATAAATTTGTCAAAAACAGCATCTTTTTCTTCCAAATTATAAATTTTTCAAAATATAACCCCTATAAAGACCGAAAGCTACTATATAATACAGACAGTTCTTATACTAAACACAATATAAATAACAAGCTTCAAATCAATCCAATAATGTTTCTTTTTCTAATTTAACTGCTTTTCTTTCAGATCCTTTCCTAACACGATTAATTCAAAATATAACCCTTTTAAAGACCCACTAAAAGTATACTAAAAGTTTCAAATCAATCCTAGAAAATTTCATATCTTTCAACTTACATTCATCAGTTTGATTACTTTGAATATCATCTTGATGAGACTGTATGATCATTTGATCAACTTCATCATGAACAGACGATTCTTTCACTGAAAAATAGACAAAATAAATAACAATTCAACCACGTCATCCTTGAAAATAGGGTTTAAAAGAACCTTGCAATTTCTATGCTAAACAAGATATTATTGAAAGACATCGGAATGGGAAATTAATTTCAAAATATTTCTTCTATATTAAACCCCAATGTTAAAATATCGGTCATATACAAATCTTTATGCTGTTTTTTCTTTGACTAGTACTGGCACAAACTTTTCCAAGAATTCACCCTGCAAAGTGTTTCCAAGTACTTGGAGAAGGCATACAGAATACCTAATTTCCATTTAAGAAAACGTATTATACAAACCATTCAGAAATAAGGAGAAGATTGATTCGAAGGATGGATCATTTTCAGTCACGTCTGCTATACCTTTTATAACACCTCCTAATATAGACGTTAAATTCTCCTACAAAATAATAACATTTGACATGATATTTTACAGGGTTTCTCCATGAAAATATTTTGATTATTAATTAATTATTGATCGTGAATCTGCCATCAATTTGGAAATTGACCCCTTAGCTCTAACAATTCCCTATCACATTTTTTCCTACTTCATTTATTAAGATATGGAATTTGACATGTTAACATAAGAAGAAAATTTCCAAGCCAACCATGATAAAATATGCTTTTCATTATTTCGATTCCTGAAATCTTGATGATCCGTATTAAAATGGCAGACAGTAGTTTGAATTATGTGCCTTTTGAGTAAACATTTTTTTTCCCTTAAATGCCATAGTTCGTTATTTTTTTGGGGTCATGAATATATGTAAATGGTCTTCAAAAGTACTAAAATTGCATAATTCCTTCAAAAAAATCTAAAGAATTTCATATTATTCATTAGTTTGGCTAAAATATTCTGGTTTCAGTGTAAAAGATATGTTTGATCGAACGGATGGCAAACTTACATTACTAAGATTTTCTGTACCAGTTGGTATATCATGCTGTTCATTCATATATGGTTGTATTGTATTATGCTGTTCAGTAGTGTTCATATTAACAGTGCTTGTACTTGGCATATTCTCTGTAGTTATACCAAGTTCACTATGAACAACAGCGTTTTTTTGTACAGAATCACCATTTTTTTTCAAAACATTGTCTTTTATTGGTACCAGCTTTTTATTGATATTTTCTGCTAATTTTTCATGTAATTTTGTGTCTTCCAATAATCTATCTAACATGTTCTGAAATGTACAAAATATAGGACATAATAGCGAAAAAAACAAAAAAAACAACTATTACAACTTAGGTACAGTGTGTATGAGCTGATCCTTGGTCAAACATCTTTGGTACCGGTAATGATCTTTCCTGGACTATTTGTACCCATTGCAGCAGGGTCGACTGGATATGATGAAATGATATGAGAACTCTACATCAGATTTCAAGTTTGAAAAGGGATATGAATAGTAATACTTAGATGGCTTATGCAATAAAGAAATTTCACAAAAATATATGGTTAGGTTTGGGGCCATATAAAATACACCTACCGCATAATCTGTCATAGTATTTTCATCCATATCTGGTCCAGGTGGATTGGTATTAAATTGAGTACAAGTTGAATTATCAGGACTTAGTCCACCCATTACAGTTATATTATTATCTGCTCGACGTCTAGGTGGTCTGAAATTTACAAAACATAAGTTTATATCTCTTGAAAACAATACTATTTGCTAAAATATAAGCATGGCTACAACAGACACTTTATTAATTATCAAATTATGTTCACATTATGGTTACAACTGATTCTGAATGCAATTTAACATCCATTTTTTTCTACCCTTTATCAGACCAAAAAGATAGACAATGCCATACAATGAGGAAATTTTGCAGAAACATAAGCCCCTTTGTTTTATTATTGTCTGAACATCCACACCCTGTAACACACGGGGTATTGTTTAGGTTTTTATTTCATTTTTAGGTTTATATCATATGAATGGACTAGCAAAATTGAATTGAAAAATTTGAATGAATAAATTATCTCCCTCTACCAGATCTACCAGATTTGCTATATAAGCCTCCAGGTCATAATGACAAAATTTTGGCATAAGACAAATAATTTCATTAATAAAATTTGTACAAAATCTTTAAATTTATACCTTTTTCTTCTTGGAGACTTATAATGGTTATCAAAATGTACATTAGACAATGCTTTAACAGGTGTTTTGAGGTTTGAGTTTTCATCAACATTTATCGGTCGAAATGCAGACTTCTGAGGTGTTACTGGTACAGGAAAACTTTGAACTACTGAAAAATAATCATCTAAAATGATATATAAATAGAGATATAAATGAATCTTGTAGACACTATATATTAAACTAAAACACAGCAACCTTCTATCTACTCAAACCAATGATACAAAATTTTGTTTGATTCTATCAACATTCTGAAGGATATTAAACATATGAACAAATCTTAAAGATTTACCAAATCAAAAACGAATCTTTAAAGATGAGAAATATTGCAAATTGTAAGTGAATATTCAGAATCTAGTCTTAATCTCAAAAAATGTCCAAAATACATAATTAAACTAAAAAACATTTGCTAAAGAACTCTTTTAATGACTTTTAAATCCCATGGATCCTGCTTAGAATGTCTTAATCTGTACTATACACAAACATACTTTCATGCAAGAAATTATAATTACCATTGCCTGTATTCGATTGAGAAGTTTCATGATGTATATCAGAGGAATGCACTATAAATGTTTCATTGGATACCATTGTTTGATTACCATTATTATCACCATTTTCAACTTCATGATTACCATTACATCTCATAGAAATATCACAAAAACTATTATTATTCCCATTTACATCATTACTACATGTGTTACTTGCTTCCAATATTGTGTCCAATTCCGCTTTTTCCGTAATATTATGTGTCTCAAATTCTGTTGTATTATCACAATTTTGTATTTGAGAGGAATCTAATCTTTCACTGGGTTCTTTAGGTTCATCTTCAATTATGACCAAAGTATTACTATTCACACTACTATCTGCACAAGAATTGTCTTGCTTTTCTTTGGTCTCTCTATCACAAGCACTGGAATTCTGTTTCTTCTTTGTGGTTGAAGATCGCAAAGTTCTTTTACAAACCTGCTCAGGAGTTTTTTCTGCAGCACTTTGATTTTCATTATGGTCTATCTCCATAGATTGATTTCTAGAGGATTCTCTAGATTTTGTTTTATTAGCACTATTTTTACTACGCTTACAGCGCACTTTACCATAAGGGGGAGAAGATAAATCTGATATTGTTAAATCAGATGAGTTTTTCAGTGTAGATGCTTTTGAAAATGGTCGCTTAGCCTTGCCAATTTCATCATCATCTGAATCATCACTATGCACTGTTTCCTCTGTGACTACATCAAGCGGGCTATTGTCAGATACCCATCCTTCATCACTTGTTTCTTTGATGTCCAAGACTGACGCACACAATTTCCGATTTTTGGTTTTCTTATTCAGTTTCCGATGTCGAACAGTTTGTGTTTCTTTTTGTTTGAGTTTGGATTGAGTTGATTTTTTTAACTGTTTAACAACTACATCAAATTGTTTCCATAATTCACTTGAACTTGATGTCTCCTTGGAATCTACAAAATAAGACATATGAAATTTTATTGTTGTAAAACACAATTTTTTTTAAAATTACAATACAAATGCTTCTAAGAACTATCAATCCTTTATAATCTTTTATCTTACAATTAAATACTTTTGGAATCTACATACAATATCAATAGATCCTTACTGAAAGGCAGTCATTTCTATACATCCAAGGTGAATCTAGCCACTTTAAAATCTATGCAAAGCATAGTTCTGTCAGGACATTTTGGTGAATTGATAGGGCTTATAATGACAGGCAGTGCCATGCAGTGTGCAATGAAGATTTTTACTATGACAACTGCTTAAGCCTTCTCTGTTTTCAATTTGTAACATGGGATCTTTAACAAACAGTGTCTAAAGCACAGCTACAGCTTATGGTCCTATCTGAATGACTAGATGCTTTTTCCATGTCAGCCCCTCCGTTTGAAACCTGAAGGTATTATCTCCACCTAAGTCTGGATTGAGCTTACACAGGACCTTCAGGTTTGTAAGCAAGAGTCTGAACTCGCTGAGTCACAAGGGCCCCAGTTTGCATGAAAGTTCTGAAGCATATTGATTTCAAGAACCCTACTTCAAATTTTAGCTGTCATTATCTTCATAAAATGTTTACCTTGTAGTTTATAGGCTGCATATTCATTTACTAGATTAACTAGAGTGTATCCCATTATTGTTGTTGGGTAAGTGATACCCCTTTTTAACAATGCTGAATATTCAGCTAAATCTTTAGACTCCTTTAAAAAGGTTTTGTATGTGATTTTACATTTGACATCGTGGAGATACCCTAAAAACATAGAAAACAAAATGATTATACAAGCTTCTTAATAAAAAAAGGGATATCACTCAACAAGGTGAAAGAAAACCGAAAAGGTGTATCCTAAGCCTAAGCCTAATTAGTCTGCAGGTACAGGCCAATTGGCCCTGTTAAAATTATAATTTATTTTCAGATAAATTGAATTAAGAATGTTTCATATGGCAATGCAAGCAAAACTGGTAGATTCAGTACTTACAAGGAAAATAGGTCAGGTCAGAGAGCAGAAAGCCCAACTACCAAATTTCAAAACTGGAAATGAGATCAATTTTGAGTAGTGGTAAGATTAAATTTTGCTTAAAATATCTATCCTTAAGCATAGTCAGATGATGAATGCCGGGTATTCGCCTGGATCATTCTAACTCGACGGGGACAGTGAGTAACTGCACGACTCTTCAATCATAATCCGCATTGATGGCAGTCGAAGAGATCAAGATATCATTACCAAAAAATATACGAACCTAATACGAGCCTTGCAATTTCAGACGGGAGGAAGAGATGCTGCTGGCTATCCATTTAAAATTCAATAATGAAATAAGGCTTCTGATTACATTAATATGTTATGATATATTCGTAATTTCACATCATCTTTGTTTTTCTTTATATTTTCCGGGAAATCAGAAATGGCGGGTCAGTCTGAAGTCGGCAGATTTATTGACAATTGTCGTAAATTTAAGAAATCACAGAAAGATTTCAATTCTTTTGATATTTTATAAGTAATCGATCTCTAAAACATAATCAACATACGCATATATTTCAAATTTTATATAAAAGATTAGAAAAGAGACTAGTTTCGCTTACCATTTTACGACATTAGTTAATGGAGACCTGCTATTGGCAATTTTTGGGCGTACAGAGTAAACATGGCTCATTCACTCTATGAACAAACAATTATTGAATCCTTTTTATGAAAAAATATGAGTTTGTCATTCAAAACAAGAGATAGACATGGTTATTCAGTGAAGTTTTCTCCTTACATACATAATAGACTTGCATGTAGCTCATCACAATATTATGGAATAGCTGGTACGAAAATATTTACAATTACAACAAGGCCTACCGTACCAAGTTACATTCTTGTCATTGTGACAGTCCGTGCCCTCAGCCTTTACCTTGTACCATCCCCTGAGTGGATTAAAATCTGATGGGCTTTTGTACTTTTTATTCACTTTACCTCAATACAGAAAGATTATATGACAAGATCATTTAATGTCAGGCATTAAATTGAGGACAGTCCCAGTGGGGTCTACCTGATACTGCCCTTGCTAAGAATTTCCACATTATAGCCTACACAGGATGGACCATGTTCTTTGCAGGTCAACATTTTGCATTGATTTAAAGGAAAAATTGGTCAGAGTTTCATGGGGAAATAGAAATATATACTGGCTGTCGGATCATACTGAATATGGATGGCTGTTTGTACAAGTTTACTGAATTACTATTACAGTCATGCTGAATACGGGTGACTGTTTGTACAGGTTTGACTGTATTACTATTACAGGAAGTGGTACATTATTTATATTAGATATTATAGTTGATAAATTAAAATTGGTTCAAGTATTTAATTGGAAACAAGGTTTATTTGATGTAACATGGTCAGAAAATAATGAGAATATAGTACTAACAGCTAGTGGTGATGGTACAATACAAATCTGGCATTTACAACAACCTCAGGTTACCTAACTATTATCATTTATTAAGGGTCAACATCAAGGGTAGGGGGGTATCTTGAAAATGCCTGAGGGGAGGCTGCAAGAGGCTCCCAGAAGCCAACAGATTTTAGATGGCCTGAGATGAATTGTGAGCTTAATTTTCACTTCAAAAAAAGACCTTTCAAAGGGCGAAGGGGAGAGCCATGACCTAATGGCCGACTCCCTAAATATGCTACCAGTCAAGGGATACAGTATGGGTATCCCATAATGTAAATAGATATATTTGCTGTACCAACGGTTAGAGCTCATTTTCAGTGGTTATGTTCTAGGACTACTAATATCTGCATCTAAGAAATAAAAATGTTAATAATCAAATAAAAACAGTCTTAATCTCCTCAGAATACTTTGTTAAATTGCAGGAGAAACAGTCTTCAAGTTCAATTCCTAAAAAGTGATACAGCTGAAATAATGCTTTATTATTTGGAATAGCAAATATTTTAACAACTTCATCCCTTTAAGAGGTCTGTACTTGGAACAAAATAGAAAAAACTGAATATATCTCTAATTTCTTATGATTTTGTTGAATAAAATTGAATTTTATATCATGTTTCAGGGTCCTATAAAAGTTTTAAAAGAACATTCTAAAGAGGTTAGTTTTCAGTTTTTTAAATAATGTCATCAATTTACAATATTCCAAGTTTGAGTCAGATATCTTGGCTCTTACAATTCCACTAAAAAAGTTCTTCACATGAACAAAATTTTGTAAATATCTTAGGAAATCGAAATATATCCACTATTATAAATGTATCTAAATATATCTATTATGCTTGGAAAAGAAGGAAAATTGTATATAAAACTTTATACATGACAAATATTTATTTGCTTTGTTTCTTAAATATATTTATTTATTTATCAACTCATTGTAACTTATATATTATTGTAAAAATTTATATAAATTTTGTACTTTGGCCGAAAGGCTTGTATGCATGAAAGATATTAAATTATTATTATTATTATTATTACTATCACAAAGGCTGCTATTTATCTATAAGAATCTTTGCAATATAGATTTCATGAAATCTTAGTTTAAGTGGAAGTGCATGAACCATGAATGGGTAGGTTTGGATTTATTAAAGACTATATTTTCCTGCTAGCATTTCAAGGAATATTAACAGGTTATTGTTGTTTATATTGATTATTGTCAAATTTATTTTCTAACAGGTCAATTCTATAGATTGGAGTCAAACTAGGACAGATCAACTGTTGCTGTCTGGTTCCTGGGATGGTACTATTAAATTGGTAAGGTTCTATTCTTATCTTTATGTGCTGATAATGCATTCATTCATTACTCATAGATGCAATTTTCCTCTAGAGAGAAAATACTTACTCTGAACATTTGGGTCTGGTTTGTTAAAAAATTTACAAATAATAAGTTTTTGTGGTTTTTTTCAATTTTAGTGGGATATTTTTCAAGATAGATCTTTATCAACCTACACTAGTCATGAGAATATTGTTTATAGTGTAAATTGGTCTCCACGGCTACCATTTATATTTGCTTCAGCATCAGGTAAGTAAAAAATGGTATAGATTCTTGAGGTTTCTTTCAACAAACTTATCCTTGACGAAACCTCTTTCCAAGATAATTCTTTGGCCATTTACAGCTGAGTTGTTTGAAAGTTTACTTATTGAAAGTTAGTTTCTGACACTTTGACTTCTCCCGTCGTCGCAGCTGTGCATTTACAAAGAGGAAATGGATGGTAGAGGCTAATTCAAAGTGACAAAATTTTGAAATGCCATCCCTCTAGTCTCACATTAGATATCTAAAAAAATTGCCCATAACAATTTGTAACATTCAAAATGAATTTGTTTTAAGGTGTATTTAATGTATACATTAATGTAGGTGACCAAACAATAAGAATATGGGACAGGCGGAAAACAGCAGATGCCAATATGGTTATTTCTGCCCATCAGTGTGAAGTACTGTCTTGTGATTGGTCAAAATATGATGAGGTAGTATTTTATATATGAAATATTAAATGTAGAAAGTTTCTACTAGAAACTGAAATAATATTTTGTGTGAAAATAGTACATTTGGAAATTTTACCTCATTGTACACTGTATGGTATTTCCTCTTGATAAACATACTCAGGATGAGTAAAGTAGAATTAAAGTCATAATATTATTCATCTATTGTCTTTCCTATAGAATATAATTATATCTGGTGGAGTAGATGGTGTTGTAAAATGTTGGGATTTACGTAAACCAAATCATTTTATTTCACAACTTAATGGTCATCAATATGCTGTTAGAAAAATCAAGGTATATCTTAAGATACCCAATATTCATACCTTCATAGGCCCAATTTCACAAGACTATAGATGTTGTATATTTGGCTACCTGTATAACTTTTTGTGCTGAAAATCTAGCGTCTGATATAAGCCATTATGTAGAAGGAATAAATTTGTCTTAATATTTGCTTAACCAGCTGAGCTGGGCACAATTTATCTGCATCTTTTTGAGAATCACTTTAATTTAACATTTTGTGCAGTTTCTACCTTGTGTTAAAAGCTTCAGCTTATGCAGGGGTTTTCGACCTTTTTCTGTTTATTACCCCTTCGGGATCCATGATTGATTACATTACCTTCTTCCCATTACTTTTTCAAGATTTTCTCTTAGGTTTTACCTATTTTGTTGTTTTTCAAGCAGGATGACAAAAGATAATTTCTTATTTTTGTTTCAGACTTCACCTTTTAATGCTAAAATAATTGCTACATGTTCTTATGATTTTACTGTTAGGTAAGCTTATTTTTCAATTTAGCCACATTTTGGACTTTTTGACAATATGCACAATTCTGACCAAGAGAGCTAATAGAGTGTGATAGAGGTTATGGATTTGAAATGCTATGCAGGAAATTCGGTATGCTTATGTATATTATAGGACTATTCTTATATTGTAAAAATGCAATTTTTTGTGAATATATGTAATTGCACAATATACCAAATTGTCTCTTATAAATAAAAAAATAACAAAGGGTAGTTATTAAACAATTTACTATAAATTTTTCTATGTAAAAGATTTTGATTACTGAGTTGTATTCTATAATCAACTGATTACTCTATGTCAGGTAGATTAAGATTACTGAGTTGTATTCTTTCAACTGATTACCCTGAGTAGTTTTCAATACAACTCACTATCAATTCTCTTATCATATAAGATTACATTCTTTAATCAACTGATTACCTTGAGTAGTTTTCAACACAACTCACTAAAGTATCAATTTTATTATCTAGTAGATTTTGATTACTGAGTTGTATTCTTAAATCAACTGATTACCCTGAGTAGTTTTCAATACAACTCACTATCAATTCTCTTATCATCTAGTAGATTAAGATTACTGAGTTGTATTCGTTAATCAACTGATTACCTTGAGTACTTTTCAACACAACTCACTAAAGTATCAATTTTATTATCTAGTAGATTAAGATTACTGAGTTGTATTCTTTAATCAACGTTATTCTGATTCTACCATTATTTTTTGTAGACTCATTATTTTTGTCTGGCAAAATATTTTGTATATGTGAATTTTGTAGATTTTGGGATATATTAGAAAATAAATTATTAAAAACTGTAGAACATCATACAGAGTTTGTTTATGGTATAGACTGGAATCTTCATACACCTGGACAGGTAAGTAATGTTTTGATAAGGAAAGTACTAGAATATATCTTATAAAGAAGAATGTTCATAGGTGAATGTTCATGGGTACATATAAAACATTGTGTCCATTTAGCGAGCAGAATGTTGCTGGATAACATTGAGCAACCATTATCTCAGGTTTTGGAATTGATCAATTTTTTTTTTGCAAACAGAAGCTGAGTATTCTCTCTATATATACAAAGGATATCTAAACCTCTTTTAAATCACTTTAGTTTTTTTTTTTTTTTTTTTCAGATAGCAGATTGTAGTTGGGATGAATTGATTAAAGTTTACAGTCCACTATCAGGTCTTTCATCTTGATGTCTTCTTATTGTTTGGTTTTAAATGAATTTTATACTGTAAAATTGTTATATCTGAGCAAAGAAATTTTTGCACACATCAGGGTCTGATTTCACACATTAAAGGGACAGATGCACCATTTTGGAGGGTTGATATGAGCATAATTTCTCCAAAAAAAGTCTCAGACTAGGAATTTCTTTACCCATTTCTATTGATGTCTTTTTAATATATGGCAGTGTCTTTAAAAAGACGACTCTTCTTTTAAATTTTCTGAAGCGGATAATTTTGGACACTCATAGATTTCAAGGTGAGGTGTGAATACTATTACTGATTGGCATAGTTAAGAGAAATTCCTGTTTCTGAGACTAAAGTATGATTGGTCAAAAATGGCTCACCTACCCTTTTAAAAATTTTTTAGGAAGTGTCATGTAAGTCTAGTTCATATATCTCTAATTTCTTTTTGGTCTCCCCAAAAATAAAGTTGACAGCTCTTTTATGTTTTGAACAGACTCGAATGTGCACAAAATTTGATATTTAATATCATGGCTGGTATCATGATTTTAAATATATATGATATATATTCATTGTTTTACTAGTGGTGCGATTTTGTTACATATTGCCATAAGTACTTGTGATAATAATATGTCTTTAATTGTTACAGAATGCTTACAATAAAAAGCATTTTATTTTTTAAGTATTAAAGCTACCATGAATTAAAACCTTTTATTTTTTATGATTTAAAGCTCTCATGTTCTCTTATGAAATTAATAATTTTTTTTAGAATATTGGCCTGTACAAGCTGTCCTGGGATATTTTTCTCCAAAACACATATGTTTTATTTTGAACTGTGCTCAAATTAGGTGAAAACACAATGTGGGTCTGACATTTTACATTCTTGAAGCTTTTCTATATTTTCCATTAAAAATACAAATTTTGTAATTTATTTTATTAAAAAAAATCTTATACAATAAATAAGTGGTTAACATTGAATATAAAATACAGGCTGATATAACAAATTAATTGTTAATTAATTATTTCATTTTTTGTGGATTATTAGACCAATGGTTAGTTGTGTCATATTCATATGCAAGGAAAAACATTTTTCAAAAATGTTTGAAAGTGCCTAGAAAACTATGGTCTAAAGGCTGACCTTTGTCAGCTTAATAACTTATGTAATCTTCAACGCTTAAAATCTGATTTCCATGAAAATGTGATATTATGGGGTAGAAATTTGTTTCTGTTATTCTATCAAACTTATATATGCAATAAGTGATGAAGCTAATATAATGGTGAATATACAGAGCTCAAAAGCATCACATATAAAAAAGTTAAAATGGTTTTCTTTTGCCTGTATCTTTGATATATCTAATTTTAACATCAAACACATATTTATGAAGACACAAGCTGCCTCGTATATTTTTATTTGCAGATGAAATAGTTTTTCATTCAGGGAAAATGATACAAATAGTTAGATTTGACCACTATCAACTGACTTAGTTTGAAAGATTCGCTAACTACTCAATGGTATCTTTCGAAAAATGGCGAATTTTTGCATCTTTTAAACTTCTTTAGATACCTTGAATCTGCCAAACTCAATTATATTTGGAAAGATGAATACTTTCTTGGGAGGTATAATAAATCCCCATTTAACAGAGTATAATGTCTTCTGACTGTACTCAAACAGACAACTGTCAAAATATTCTGACATAAACAGCAACGACAAAAATAAAAAAATGAAATAAATCATATGACACTGATAACAAATAACTGAAAAACAAATATATATCAACCATTTTGGCTGAAAAATATGACTGTTTAAATAAGAATAATTAATAACCAGTTAATTAAAAACCAACGACCATTATCATAATAACAAATTAATATCAAATATATTTATATAGGAATAACTGATAAAAACAATAATATTCTAATTGCCAGTAAGCAAAACCCTTGTTTAGAAAAATCCTTCAAGAGGTTCTCTAAATTTTGAATGTGAAGGCTATCAGGGACACTGATAGCATCAATTTGCACCATTCCAATTTTCAAGTAGTTATCTGTGGTTCTTTCAATTTCACTAAAACTAAATGTCTGATGATCTGATGATGTCACTAATCGCGAACAGCTTTTACATCATACAAGCATATTTTGAGATGAGTGACGTCATCGATCACTTACGTTTTGTGGACTTGCCGGGAATTGAGATTTGTTAGAAAATCTCTTAACAATCCCTTTTTAACAATTAACCATAATTCAAATTATATCACTTCACTCTCTGGGAGCTTTACAGCCACTGCTCCGATAAATATCATGTAAAATGGTGGCTGGTAGAGCAGCCACTAGTAAGCAAACCACGCCCCCATATGTCATACTTCCTAGATACCATGGTAATACAAGCAATAAATTACGTATTCATAGATAGATATTATCCAATCAAAATTGGCCCTGCTGTCTTGCTTGTAAAATCTCAGCCAATCAAAACAAATCACTCCTTATGATGCTTTGTTTGCGAAACAAAATGAAAGCAGTGTGTCATTAAATATTTTGATTAATATGGATGTTACAGAATAAAGTAAGATTTTAACTAAAGAATTGAAGCCAAGAGAAAAATCAAACTTTACTTTGGAATATTTACGTGGCAGCAGCAAATAGCAATGTTGTGTTTTGTTTACATGACCATGTTCTACTGATCTGATCGGTCAAATTTAAATAGCATCTCATTTCCACGCCCACAAAATGAAGTGCAGTGGGCTTAGTTTAATACAGTTAATAAGACAAGTATTCGTGATACTATGAGCAGCTATTAGAGTTCAAAGGGTTAAATCAACTTGTGTACCTAATTCATGAAAAATGAGTCCCTACGAATATTGGTGACATCACATTAAGCTAATAGAACTATCACTAAAACAACATATTGGTTTGTTTATGACAGCAAATCAGACATTCTGGCTTGTTTTAAAGCATAAATTTCACTAGCCATATCATCTGGTACTTCTTCTGACCTCTTGGCTTTCTGAAATTCAATTTCAAATTCTTGTCAAAAACAATACATTTAGGGGTTTGTCATGATAATAGCAACAATCCTAAGCAGAAGGGAAACACAATTTTACTGGTCTACATTTCTTCTAAAATAAGTGATGCTATGATTAATGAGGCAGTGTTAGACACCCACTGCCACTCTGCAACTGGGTATGTCAACTTGGCATAGAAGAGACTTAACACAGTTGCCATGTTGAAAATAATGACCAAAGATCTGTGGCATACCATGTTTTAGGTATATGGGGCTGTGGTGGCCATGGATGTAAACTTGGCACGAGAACCTGAGGATCTGGTCTGCCAGCTGGTCCTTGATCTGTCCACAAGGGAATGATATTTGTACTTATTAAGGGCTGAGCCGACTTGAAAAATGGAGACATTCAAATCCCAATTATTTGCTTATGCTGATACTTTAGCTCTTGCCATTACGACAATTTAAAACCCATCACCAGATGAGAATAGGCTGGTAGTCAACTGAGCCTAAGCACCTTCTCATACTTACTTTTTTCATCTTTTTTCCTCTTGATGCAGAAGCACCTAATGGTGGAGCTGCTGCACCCAATGGTGGTAATGGTCGATCTGCCGGCATTTCACAACACTCTTTAGATCCTCCAACAAAATCAACCTCATCTTCTCCTTCTGAATCACTGTGACTTCTTCCATATTTTGATATTTCAGTCTATAATCAAAATGTGAAAACACCGTAGTTAAAGAGATATATTTATTTAATTATATATTATCCACTGATAGAGATGTATCACCTTTAAGATTGCAATCTGATATCCGAATCTTCTGCAATCCACAAAAACGAGCAGTGGAATTTAACACTGTCATCACTGCAAGGCCATTTCCTTGGGCACTGTGGCTGATTATCTCCTCAAATAGGTTATATCTTCACAAAAGAATGGCACAAATTGATGTTATCAGTGTCCTTGATACACAAAACCTATTTAAAAAACTATTTACTATCCCTTTAACACAAAAGTTTAGGAGATAATATAATGCAAAAGTGCTTACCTTCTGTGCATGGCTTACATGAGCATCAGCTACTTTTAGGTTATGAAACATTTTCTTATAAACATTTCTTCTTTGAACAGGGGCTGATTCTCTCCTGAAAAACAATTTTGGTATATTCCTTATTTTACAAAGTTTCCCAAAAACTAAAGCCTTGTATAAAACTGTGCCGAAAACTACCTAACTACCTTACTACATGCAAAGTTAGGGTTGGTTTTTTTTGCCTGTCAAATTATACACAGACTTGTAGTTGACAAGCAAAGGCAGACAGACAAAGATTTATCGCCTGTCAAATAATATACAGACTTATAGTTGACAAGCAAAGGCAGATTTTTTTTGCCTGTTAAATTATATACAGACTTGTAGTTGACAAGCAAAGGCAGACAGACAAAGCCTGTTAAATTATATACAGACTTGGTAGTTGACAAGCAAAGGCAGACGGACAAAGCCTGTTAAATTATATACAGACTTGTAGTTGACAAGCAAAAGGCAGACGGACAAAGATGACAAGCTGTATGCAACAAATTATCAAATCAATGTATAAAAAAACAAACAAAAAATTGAGTCTTACGTGTTTCTCCAGGCAAGTCTATGACTCATAAAAGCCACACCACGTGATTGTGTGTATTCCCCTTGTAGTGCCAAATCGGCACAAGTCTTAGCAGTATGAACTCCAAGGACTTCTAAATTAATATCTAAATATACAAAGAAATGTTTATCAGTAAGTTACATTTTGAGAAATGATTTAAAAAAAAAATTGTATTGTAATTCTGTTAAATGTGCTGGATGTTTGAAAATGGTATCTGTCAGCCTTTCTTGAAATAATGGATGTAGTGTATGTAGACACAGCATTATGGAACAACAATCACTGGCAAAGCTCTCATGCAACGGTATGAGGTGTTTCTCGCGTAGTCTCCAGGCACAGACGCTGTTGGAAACACGTCGAACCGTTGCATAAAACAATAACCAGTGACTGTTGTTCTACAACATATGGTATTCACAATTGCTAGTTTACATCAACTTACTTCTTTCAGCTTCCTTTCTGTCAGTAGTTACATCTAGTACCCTCATAAAAACTCTTAAGGCTTTGGTACCATCCACATCAGTATATTCCAGTTGTAACTGGAATGGTAATTTACTGGGAATTGGTTCTGTACTGGTACCAGGCATACAAGTTGAACTAACAGGATTTGTTACCATTTTGGAACTACCTTGTGGGTCTGTTTCACTGACTATTTCTGTTTCTTTATCTGTTACTTTTTTTGCATCCTTTTGAGTTTCTTCACTGCTGCTGTGAGCACCTTGAGCTGTAATACATTTATTTAATTCACTCTGTGTGTGTTCACTCAGTGCATAGGGCCCAAAAATGTGTTGGATTATGGAGAAGTCACAGTTCTTGAGGTTATTTTCTGTTAACACAGTTACTATTTATAGCTCTGTAAGTGACCTCAAAGACATCATCAGGAGAGATTCATAAAATTCTGTTGGTCTTCAATGTAAATTCAAAATAATTATTGTATACAATTATTGTTAGAAGACTCAAATTTCTACATTAAGCCACGAACACTTAGTATGGCCATTGCTATCTTCACAATCTCAAGCTATTACAATTTTCTTACTTATACCTTGACTGCAAGCATTAGGTGAGGACGGTCGAACAGGGGCCACAAAATTTAGGCTATTCTTTCTCTATTTAAAAGAATTTGAAAATGGAATGCGTTGTTTTTGGGAGGGGGGGGGGGGGGTGGATTGGAGGGTACGGTAGCACATACAGTCAATCAGATGCCTTGACGGCAGGCACAAAGCCAAAATGCTAACAGCCTTTCTGTCTTGGGTTCTTATTGGTTGTACTCACTGGCATATAATACAATCAAATCGCTGCATTCCATGATTTAAGAATAGTGGCTATTGCAGTCAAAGTATAAGTACAATGTTTTTTACAGCTGGATATTGTGAAGATGCTAAACAATCCCTATTTCTGAGACTGTGATTGATAACATGGATGGTATACATGCCCCCTTAAGATTCAATCCTATACTGACCTAAACGTGGCTCATATTGGTATGTTATTACTGTATCTACGGTAGCATTTCCAATATATTTGCGTATCACATTACTTTCTGTGTCTTCATCAGAGAACTTTCTACAAGTATAAATCATATTCCATAAATTGTTTTTATTAGTTTTTCTGTCTAAACTGTTGTTCAATTAGATTGAAATCCTGATCAAAATACTTTGTTTCAATTTTTTGTTATGCGTAACTACACTAGCAATTCATGATCTTAAGAATTAGCATCTTTAAATTAAGTTCAATTAAATATGTATCATAATATATGCTAGCCAATCAAGCAACACTATTACAAGTAGTTCACTATTCCATGTCAATCTTGGACAATATACCAAAATTCCTCAAATATGGTGCCAAAATTTATACCCTACAGATAATTTGATTGGTTGAATATTTTAGTGACCTAGAACTCATGGTGCATAACAATTTCCAAAGAGAATGGATGAACAAGGCAGTAGCTTGCAGAGAAATTACAAAACTGGATTTAAATCTATGATAAGTAATTATACCAAAGGCCATCTCATGGAATCCAAAAGAAAAGTTGTTATTCTTCTAAAATATGGTTGTTTCCTTTTTCGAAAAATTTAGTTTTTCATCACAGCAAAGTGCTTCAAATTGCACTTCATTTTTGTTCATGGTACATGTAGGCTGTAGTGAATTCATAGTTAGAATAAAGCAAGCTAGAGCTAAGCAGGATCTAAAGTTTGGTAGTCTAGAGTGGGGGATTTGACTTGTTTGCCTCCAATATGCTAAAGCCTTGACATTTACATCAAAAATATATATATCGGTACTTACAAATTCTTATGTAATAAGACAGTTGATTTCACATTAGTTGCTATGGTTCTATCAGCTAATATGTTACTGAATTCTTCTGTTAGTTTCAATGGATCCACATGGTTCACCTGAAATTTTGGGAAATAAAATTGAAAGTAAAGTCATGAACCTGCAAAGTTAGAAATTAAAGATAAAAATGACAAATGCTGAAAGGATAATTTAATTAAAATTGTTTCTTCTTTTGCTTTTTAATCTAACAAGTTTTCTATCGCAGTTGCAGTCTAATGACATTAGTTTTATTAATCAATAGAGCATAATGTACAACATGAGATAGCGAAGCCTCCAGAGCTATCTATATTGCTCAAATTTGGGTTTCGCCATTCCAACAATACTTCATTGTTAGCAGGAAATTCTTCAGAAGGGAACTGTCACAAAAAAATTGTTAAGTTACAATGGAAAGGATGGTACAATAAAACCAGGCCCACTGTGCTACAGGCTATTTCTTCAACAGTTGTAAATCAAAAAAGAGTAGGCTAATGCCACTGTCCTGGCAAAATTTCCCTCATTGCACACATCATGGTAGTAATCGACTTCGTTAATCAAAAAAGTGTATAAAAGTAGAATGTAGAAGTCCAATAATTTTATTTCCAGCTCTCAGATTGTGATAGATTGATAACTTGATTAACTGGTGGTTATTTTGAAAAATCATAACAAACCTGTCCATTAGTTATTTCAGCCAATTTACCAAGCTGTACCACTTTACTTTCAGCTCCCTTGATAGATACAACAGATATTGATACACTGAAATTACAACAAACAAGATTATAAAATGGACGGCAGACGCCAAAATCCCTTAGAAGACACATCCTCTTATCTTGACCAACAAGCAGTTGTCAAAATCTAACTTGTCCAGATCTTGTAGAGATAAACCTCCACACCAAATCTCATAAAATTCTGACATAAACTGTTGCCTCTGTCAGTTTACAAGCCTCTTTTAATCTATTTTCAGTGTATCTAGAGTTTCAACTCTGTTAATAATTGTTGAATCGTACCCAAATTCAAACTTGTCCAAAATCTTGTGGATACAAACCTATATACCAAATCTTAAGAAATATCAGAAAAGAAATGTGGCCTCCATCGCGTTAATATTTGTTGAATCATACCCAAATTTGAACTTGTCCAAGATCTTGTGAATATAAACCTACAACTATAAGCTTATTTCATAAAATTTTCAGGTAAAGAAAATGCTGAAAGCAAAAGGATTACCTCCTTTTGAGAACCTACCCTTTGTCATTGGCTTTCACTGCCATTTCTTCATAAAATTTACCGCATTCTTCTGATGTCCCTTCATCTAATCTTCCTAATCCCACATTGGCCAGTCCATCAGTACAAATCACAATCTTAGAACCAACATGACGTGAAGCTAATCCCATAGCTACTACTAACGCTGGTCCTAGAGCTGTTTGTCCCATTTCTTCTAGACTAAAATAAAAAATTTTCAGTCCATTGACAATAGATGTTTGATAATAAATGTTGATAAAAATAATAAATGTCAGAGCCCTACTGAGATTGAGCACCACCTATAAAAACTCAAGCAAATACGTTTGGCTGTGATAGTAATGGAGCAGAATATTGACCATAGGTCATTTGAGCTACCCTGTCGGTCATGACCGGCAAATAGAGCCACAACAACAGCTCTGGTAATGGTTGTCTAATAGATCTCTTATCCATATATGCTATAAATTTGTGACCAGTAGAAATGAAAAGTTGATTTCCTACTCCTGATTAGGCTAATGCAAAGTCCTGAAGTGTGCAATTAGGGAAAGTTTTAATGTGCATATGGCGTCTGTAGAGAAACTGAATACTTACTTGTATATTTTTTCAGTTAACGCTTTATGTGTATCTTTAATTGGCTTGGGTAACTGGATTTCTGATCCTAAGCGAGTCAATTCAGCTTCATCTTCTAATTTCTTACCAGCAATAATCTGGTCTGTATTCACACCTTCATCCATGACTCGTAACTTGAAAAAAATTTGAAATCATTTATAAAACAGATTCAAGTGTCCCATTATAATAAAAGATATATATACCACGGTCCTTATGAGTTAAAATATTTAAAGGAATACTACCAGTATGTCTTAGAATGAACATAAAATTTAAGAATTTAAAACTTGGCCAATATATTCATCAGTAGATATACCTGGTGTCATAAATAACATAACAGGATCCTTATTTAATCTGATAAATCCAAAAAACTTAATTATCCATAAATATGAAATTAACTATTGAAAAATATTAAGATTAAACTTTTTTCAACTTAGTTTTATGAATTTTCCAATTTTCCAGATTTGTAACTTTATGACACCAGGTAAGTTCACTGATGAATATATACTCATATTGACCATCCTTGAGAACTTAAATTTTATGTACATTCTACGACGTAGTATCACTTTAAACCAACTCATCTGTTAGGAGCTTCAGCTGTGCAATAACATTAAAATGAGTTGGTTGTAGCATACTTAAGCTCCACCTACCTCTTACCTCTTACCTTCTATTTGGTGGTTCATGTTAAGTTATCCAATTACTATACAACATAAAGTTGCTGATAATAGACCATGGTTTTCTCAACACACATTTTAAGCAAATTATTTCATAAAAACATCAAAGGAATAAATGCAATTTATATCACAATTATAGATAAAGATTGGCGTACTTCATTGTTAAAACTGATGATAGCAACTCTTCTATTAGGAGATTCTTTAACCATATCCTCTAACTGTTTATCAACTGCAGCCTGCATAGACTGTAATCTGGATACGTAGGTCACATTACGTTTTTGATTTGGCAAATATTGATCTTCACCAGTAGGATTCAATTTAGCAGCATTTCTTACAGATGAACTTCTCAATTTTGGTTTACCTTGTACCTGTAAAACCACAAATTCAAGTGTGTGACTGAAAAGCAACTTTGTCGTTTATTAAAGGGACAGATGCGCCATTTTGTTTGTACAATTGAACCTTAGTCTCAGAAATGGGAATTTTATGTTAAGCCTAACGGTCATAGTGTTCACAGCTCACCGTTGAAATTTGAGCCTTCACATCCATGTGTGTCCAGAATAATCTGCGTTTGAAAGTTAAAAAGATGAGTCTGCCATACATAGAAAAGACATCCATAGAAATAGGAAAAGAAATTTCTCGTTTGAAATCATTTTGAAGGAATCGTGCAATTTTCATACATTTCTAGTACTTCTAAAAAGACTAACTACATATATCGAAGACTCAAATCAACCAAGATGGCGCGTCTGTCCCTTTAATAAGCAAGCATCCAATCTCAGCGACAACAAAATAAGTCTACACAATCTGGCTAAAAGATAAAATTTGACCTTACCTCAGTCGAAACACACATACTACCAGAAACATCAATACAGAATACAACAATAGATTCATCAACACCACTTGGACCAGCAGCTTCTGCCGCAGGTGACGCTTCTAATAAGAATGTGACATCATCATCTTTAGGTATTTCACCTTCTTCTACATCAACTTCATTATTGGTTCCACAAAATTCACATACCCATACCTAGTAATATCAATACACATGGTATTTTTTTTTGGTAACATCCCAGACCTATGCTTGATGTCCGACAGAGGATGTTGATCGTTGGTCATTTGAACTACCTTTTCGGTCATGTCTAGCATATAGAGCCAAATCAAAGGCCCTGGTACTCTCAAAAGCTCATCTCATACAGTTGTCAACTATTCTCATCAGGACAGTTGTTAGGTTTGAAACTGGGATTAACTTTCCAATAATAAGCGAGCAAAAAAAACCTGCTGACTCAAAAATTCGAGTGTTGATTTGATTTTCATTATGATATTTTATGTTCTTAACAATAAGTTTCATATTACTTGAAATACGTGACAAACTATGGAAAATTACATAATTTGATTCAAAATTCAATAATGATTCAAACATCAATATATGTATGATTCTTTTTCAAAATTTTAAATGGGGATAGACTGTTTGAGTGAGTTCGTTACCAAAGCACAAAAATAAGAAAACTGAAACTGAGCTCTTTTGGCAAAGCAAATGTGTAGATGGCCTTATACAGAAGATGCAAATTAACCTACCTTGCCAGACATACCAGACGTCAATTTACTAATATTGGACATAACAGCTGGACAATCTTGACCTTGGCATCGAATGGCATCCCCAGCATGCATATTACAAGGATCCTTCAACACACCCAATCTTATACTTATCACATTGGTGTTTGCCCTGTTAAACTTTTGCCTGGATTGTGGATCTTAAAAAGATTATTATAAAAATCAAATACCAGTATACTCATGTATGTAAATTCATGTCCAATAACAAGGCGTCTATGTTTTATAGTCTATATTTTGCCTCTCTCAAGGAAGAGCTGTCGAATCATTGAGTTTCAACTTTGTTAAAATCAATATGTAATCTGCCACCATGTTACCACAACAGAAGGAAGTGATCTGATTGGATTATATGCTGGCAATTAGGCCACATATTCTTGAAACGATCTTAGCGCTAGGATATCCTAGAATCAATGTTAGAAGGTATGAACCTAGGACATCCTAGCGCTTAGATCGTTTCGAGAATACGTTTGGACAGAAAGTCTGTGATCATTATATTGTATACATTATAAATAATGTCGAGAGCTCAAATTTCCTGTATTCGCTGGCGTACAATCCAATTAAAATGTTGCATTCTGTAATACAAGAATAGTGGCTATTGCAGTCAAGGTACAAGAATGAATTTGAAAATAGCTTGACATTGTGCTTCCACATTTTCATGCGAGAAAAAAAATTACAATTATTATGTAGGCCTACCTGATTCATTGTCCGCCTCTGTTTGCCAGTGGTGTTTTTTGTCTCTAGACTTAGACTTGGAAGACTTTCCAAAAAATTTTTTCAGACCACTTCCAAATCGTTTCCTTGGTACCTCTGAAATCATAATGATCAGAATGTTAAAAGTACCATTTAGCTAGGGATTGTAAAGAGGTTTTCTAAATTATCTTTTAGGTGTTTGATGGTGTCATTAATCTTTATGCTTATCATAAAGTTTGATCTATAGAGATAATTTTTTACTAACGAGGAAATAAAATATTATAGTGATCATATAACTTACAATTATAAAAAAGTTGATCATTATATAGAATCATGACTTTTTTCAAGGAAAAAAGTGGCGGCAGTAGCCACAGAGTTAGACACTTGCTTGCTAAACTGGAGGTCCAGGGTTCAATCTGGGCGATATAATAACTTTTAGAATCTGGTTTCCTCCTATCAGTGACGCAGGTCAGAGAAATAAAATGAAGTTTTACGTCCTGCTTTTCACCACCTTACAGCTTTTGATGTAAGAGAGGTTGACAAAAATCAAGTTCAGATTGAATAATAAAGTAAAGCCCTGTGTGCTACAGGCTGTGCATGTTAAAGATCTCTTAACAGCCAATCCAAAAAGAAGGCTAATGCTGCTGTCATGGTAAAATTTCTTCATTGCACACTGCATGACATTGCCGTTTTCACTAGGGTGCAGGAACAAAATTGAAATACTGACCTGGCTGGGCTACTCTTTCACCATCACTTTCATCATCACTAAAAAATACAAGATACATTTACATAAGCTTACATAGAATTGATTGGCGAGAGACCGTAGTACAGTTGACTACAGTCAACAAATGGAGGTTGTGTGTGAAAAAGTCTGGTGACAATATAAAAGTGGCAATATCTTCATTATTCCAATTTAACCAGCTGTAAATTGGTAATGGATAAGACAAGAAAGAACAGCAACTTTTACCATTTGAGCTACTCTCTTTCGAAACTTCGAAATTAAAGTTTCAACTGTTAGCTTAAGTCATTTGTCTTTGAATATCTTCAGGTCCAAAGCAACATTACATTCGAAATTAACACTCTTCCCTCCAAGAAAATTCTTGTGAAAATGAAACTTTCAAAATGAAAATTACCCTCTATAAAATCATATAAAAATATAATAACTTTTCTGATTGATTCTGTAAATATTGTAGACAGAGAGAAGATATTATTAGATATTTCACTTTCAAGTTTGATTTTAGTGATAAGTTCGTTATTTCAAGGGGTTGATTTGGGTCTTGAATATACATAAAGGTGCCGGCACACGAGTGGTCTTTGTTGCAGATTTTTGTCACCGATTAGAGTCTTGAGTAAAATTTTGCATGTGCTTTCAAGTGTATGCTCCGCACATGATTTTTGATATGGTGGAAAACGAGCAACTGGAGATTTTTGTGCCAGTCTATGAAACTCATGACAAGATTCCAATAGGCGACAAAAATCTTCGACCAAGATGGCTGGTGTGTCTGCACCTTAAATAATTTTCTCAGAAATACTTGATATGTACAAACATCAAATAATTCCTTCAAAAATACGAACAACTAGAAATTTCACTTTTCTATGATCATGACTTTTCTAAATAATGACAGTCTCAAGAAAAGACAAGTCGTGTTTTAACTTTCAAATGTGGATCATTCTGGACTTGACAGTGAGTTGTGATCACTTCTACTGATTAGCTTAGCTGAAAAATTCAGGTTTCTGATACTAAGATATGAGTGGTTAAACAGGTGGCGAACTTCACTCTGTAACTATATTTTAAACATACCTGACATTCAAGCCTTCGTCATATTCTTCATCTGATACATATTCATACTCGACATCTTTATAAAGGTAAACTTTATCTGAGCCAAAATTCATTGTTACTGGAAAATAGAAAATGATACATAATTTCTACAGATAATTTCCTAGACCAATTCATGAAGCCATAGGCGTTTTTGTATAAGCAAATCATATCAACTCGCTTCAACTGCAGAGAATCATGGTACATGGTAAAAATCAATTCACCTCAAATAAATGACTATCAGCATATCCCAAGTTGAGCATCAAGTTGGTTTGGTTTTGAGTTATCTATTTTCTGATACACAGATCATTAAAAAGTTAAATCTACCAATTGAATCATTTTTTCTGTTGATCTTTGTCTTTGTTGCTAGACAAGATAGAATGCTGGTAAAAATGATATTTTTTTTGTCTTTATTCCTGTAACTTGTGAATGAGATCTCAAAATGTATTTACTTGTTAACAATGTTGCCTGTCAGTTTGGATATTAAAAAAATCGAACCAAAGCCTGTGAGCCACAATTTGGTTGAGTTTGATACGCGCAAAAAAATGTGTCACTTTTTTATTTCAATTGGATGCATTGGTCACTATTATTGGTTGCATTAGCAGTCAAGAACTAACTTTTGTTCAGTTTATTTTTTAGCTTTGATCTTCCATCTAGCCACTTCAATAAGGGTCATGGTGCAGAAAAGTAGGATGTACACCTCCATTCATTTCATTTCAGTTGGGGTCTAATGACAGCCCTCTTAATGACGTCTGCTTTAAACCAATAAAATTTCTACCTTCTCTGGTATCAAGCGTAATATATAGGGCCTAAGATTACTTCCTCTTGTCCTCTCCCCTGGTCTCTACTGTAGGTCGATTGTGCAATCATGTATTGTTATAGGCATTGAACCAGAATTGTAAATATTCAAAGGTCTAAATCTGGACTAGGACTTGTTTATCTTTCAACTAACACGTTTCTACAGAAAATACATACCGATTTATATGCTGTCAATTGCTGAAAATATTCTTAACTTTTAATTCGCTTCCTCTTGCAATATTTTCGTAAACAAAACTAATTATAGAGCCAAACAACCGTAAAATGCATGCGCATTCGAAATAGATCTGAATTATTTCTTTAATAACGCTTTCGAAATTATTAATATCCTGAAATCCAAACTTATCTATCCATAAAGAAAGAAAAGATCGAAATACTTATTGGATCTTTTACAAAAATTATCAGGTTTAAAATTTTGACGCGTAGTAATATAATGATTCATTTCTAAAAATAGAAATTTGGAAATATAATAATCTATTTTTAGTATCGTGCTCAATGAAGTCCAGCAAGTTCCTATAAAAAGCACATAGTTCATACTCGGATCCAGAGAACATACTTATTATTGGAGTATTGCCTTATAAACTATAATTACAGCACATTTTCCATTTTGGCTTATGCGCGATGTATTCATAATGCCACCATGTTAATCCTATATCCTTATTACTATTTATTGCTAAGCCTATAGCCTATCTTGGGTCCTACACACTCCATGGATTTGGAATTTCAAATGGCCCGGAAAAGAGCTGAAGTCAGTAGAAAAATTTTAAAGAAGCAGCTAGTTATACAGGCCTAAACAAAGTTTTCATTATCAAAAACGACATTTAAAACTAATAAAAGCGGAAAGCACATAATTATTATGAATTAGGCCTACATCTGTATAGGCCACACTGAATTCGTTTTAAAAGGGTTAATTACAAATGGAGCGTAAATGTTAAAGCTCGATGTACAGTAGGAATTTGTCCCTTAACTAATATCTAAAAGTTTTAATTTAAAGGGACATATTCACCATCCGTTTGACCAGAAAGTCCCAGAAACTGGATTTTTTTTTAGCTCAGATAAGGATGGGTGTAAGTTACCGATTCTCCTAGCTCTCCATATTGTCTAAATTGGGCCAAAAAAAAGATCTAAAAATTGACGCTGAAGTTGTGCCTGACACTGAATGTCCCTTTAATTTTTAATGAGGCCTTTTTAACTGTGGTCTGGAAAAGGGGTGGTATACTGACTTGCCAGATTATAATTATGTTCACTCGTTTTGCTTTTCAATTTTACCATTTCCGATTGAAAGTTTGACAAAAATCGCTTGATAAATTACGTTTTGAGGAAACTTAATGCTTAAACTATGCACCTCTAATAAATTCTGTTGACATGATTTGAAAATAAATTGGTAAATACACAGCTTTAATCAGGCAACACAATTTAATCACATGACCTTTTTGGAAAATGTCGGCCGACCTGATTTTCGGTAAAATCTTGAACTTTCTTAGTGTTTTGTAGTTTACTTCGTTTTGACAGTTCACTTTATGAACTGAATTTCGAAAAAGGCCTCTTAAGAAACATATTATTTATCTTGAAATATTTTGTTTCGATGTTTCAGGGTCCATTCCGCCTTTCTATCGTGAAGTTTATGACATCGTCTGCCCAAACCAAGAACATGTTGACAGGGAACTTTTTGTACAAATGCTTGTTAAATCAAGCTTACCTAAAACAACCATTATGCAGGCAAGTATTTATATGTTTTGTGAACTATTGTGGTTTTGAAATGCATTTTCCTTATTGCTCAAATCGTCATTATGAGTAAGAACATGCAAAGTGGGTGTGTCTGTCATATAAATGGATGGTAAGTATTAGCTATTTTTAGCTGTATAACTTATAAGTAGGCCTATATAACATGCTATGATTTATTGCATCATACATAGTTTGTATTTGAAATTAAATGCAGCTTTTATTTCTATGGCTTGTTTACATGCTTGGAGAAATTTGATTGCTTGCCAACTAGATGATCCAATGCGAAAGTGGATATTTGATAAACCATTAAACCTGCTAAGACTTTAGCTTTGTAATTATAAGCCGTTCTATATAATATTCAATAATTTATTGCAGGTTTATTGGATTGCCCATCATATGGTCAAAAGTTGAGGCCTTTTATCACATCAAAGTAAAAAATTAAATAGCTTGGCCCCTTATCAGACATTTATTTTGACCTTACACTATTTACAGATATGGGAGATGGTTGACAGTAGTGAAGGCTCTGTAGCCAGAAATGGTCTTTATAAGGCCTTAGCTTTAACAGCCCTTGCACAACAGGGCAAACAACTCAATGAGAAGTTGTTGGAAAGTTTTTCTGGCCAAGGTCAGTTATACAATTTTTTATTGAAATTAACATGTTTTGCAGGGTTCTACAAAATATACCTGATCCTGGCTGACTTTAACTTTGTAACAATATTTTGATACCAAATTTATTAGCTGAGCTTAGAATATTTTATATAAGCTTAAGTGGATTTAAATTACATAATTTAAACATTTTTTTTTATAAATTTTGGTTAGCATTTCAAAAGTCCTTCATTTTCCATTTGTTATATTATTTTCATGGTTTTATTTTACTTGTTTTAGAGTTGCCCAAACCAGCATTGGGTGATTTGACTGATCTAAAGAATACCAGTATGAAGTTGAGAAGACAGAAGAATCCTAATGTACTAGGTTTAAATTACAGTGATCTATGTAACTTAGATACTGTTAAAGTGGAACTAGTGCCAGAAAAGAAGGGGTTGATATTAAAACATGTAGAATATGAAGTCACTAGCCAAGTAAGTGCAAAAATTAAGTTGCGATTCATCTTGAAGGGCATTTGAATCAGTTAGATGACAGGTTGCCCTTTGGTATGATTAACATTCTACTTAATTTACTCGATTATGACACCGTATGACACCATTGGAAATGGAGCTACTGGCTTAATGACATTAATTGTTATAAAATAGCAACGAGTTGTTCTTAGGCTTGTAAACTTTTATGTATCATTTAATCTATCATGAAACACTTAGGACGAATTGTGCTTATCTTATCTTCATATGCCTTTACAAATTACCTGCAGTTAACTGGAACCAGTTCTTGATTTATTTATGCTGTTTTCATGTTGCTAATTTCTATTTCAGAGATGGAAAACAACTGTATTAAGAAGATACAATGATTTTATTTCATTCCATGAATTGTTAATGTTAAGATTTCCATATCGTTTAATTCCAAGATTACCACCAAAGAAAATGATGGGAGGTAAGAATTCAACTGACTTGAAATTACTGGTTTAATGTATTATTGACAATATTGTCCCCACCCCCTGCACCCTGAAATGAACTAAAATATGTCATCATAATTAAAGCTTGCCATACATAATAGTTTTTTTTTTGTTGGGTTTAGTTGTTTGATAAATGTAAGTAAACAGGAGTGAAAAACTAACAGAATATTCTACAATGCAAAAACAATTTTTGGGTGCAAAAATATCTTTTTTTAAGCACAAAATGTCATATTTGGTATATTTTGTATTATATGTCTATAAACAGTACTACCTTCACAGCATACTTTATTATATAATTAACCATAAACAGACCAGATGTAATTTTTTTTTCAATTAGGATTTATAGATTCACACATGTATAATCTACCGATGCTTTCGTGTTTCTCCTGCTTTTGCCCTACTGACCAGATGCCTATGTCTGTCGATTTTTTGTGAGATAAAAATCTAATAATTTTGGTAAATTTGACCACTAAACAGAAAAAAAAGGTCTTACAATTTTGTTTTCTATTGTAGCTAATAGAGAGTTTATTGAGCAGAGAAGAAGATCGTTAAAAAGATTTTTAATTATAGTGGCTCGTCACCCCCAAATTAATGATGATGAATTATTAAAATTTTTCTTAACTTACAATGGATCTGTATGTATATTGATATTTTTTCCATGGTATATTTGATTGTAGGGAAACTGAACATCATAATGTAATGCTCAAAAGAGATACTGATTAAGCTTATTCCTTCGATTCATCTATGTTTGTGTGTTGTCTTCATTGAAAAGAGTGCAGACAAAAAAGAGACTTACATATGAAGCAACTATTAGCATGTAAACCCAGTTGAAAAACCCAAATGCAAAGTATTATCAGGTATTCTGGAAGAGTGGGCTAAATCTGCCCTACTTTTAAAGCTCTCTAAAGTAATTTTTTCATGGAGTTCTGTCCAAGAGTTGTCATCAATCAGATGAAAAATGTAAATGGAAAGGGATTATATTTGATATAAATTTTGATTGTAGGATATGCAGCATAAAATAAAAGAACATTTTCGAGGGAGTCCAGATGAGTTTATGATTAGTAATTTAGCTAGTAAAGCCAAGGTGTTTATTTCTGTTTTTTTTTCCTGTTCAAGGAGTTTGCTCATATGCTAATTGTGTTCAAAAGGATGATCTTGGTTGTACTTAATTGGTGGTTTCTGTTTATTCAGGATTCATATAATCCACTGTTCAATAAAACAAGTTGAAACAGGGATGTGACATATCCATTCTGTACGGTTTCATTGACGCCTATAGAGTATAGATGGAACCTGTTCAGAACTCACAGATCGAGCGCCACCCTGTTTTAAAGCTGACGTACACAGAAACTTTTAAGTGACTATATTGAACAATGATGCAAATGAAACTAAATTTTTGTTGTTTTTTTGTAGGATTTAGTGCCATTAGATACCCAAACCCAGATATCTTACAGTAAACAACATATCCAGTTGTTGTACAACGGTGTATCTAAAATGAAAGATATATCTGAAAGAATGGTTGTGAGTTCAGCAGGGTTTGCTACAGACATGTTATCATTTGGCAGTGAATTAAGGTTTGTGTGTGTTTTATGTACAATTATTATGTTATCGTTTTTGACCTGGCCTGAAACTTTCCAACTTTGATTTTTGATTGAGACAGGGTTGCTTTCTATGTGAATTCCTCAAAGTGTATTTTGATACTGAAACAATGTGCCGATTCAAATATATGATATTAAAGGGAATGTAAAGAGGTTTTCTAAACTTTTCACATGTGTCTTGGACACTAATAGCATCATAACATTTTCAGACATTTTAACAGACTAACGAACATATCCAGCAAATATGGCCATATCAACAGCCCTTATTTGCACCATTCCAGTTTTCAGACAATGATATCCAAACGCCTTTGCAATAGTGACGTGATACTGACGTCTAACTAAAAATTGGAATCTTGCCAATCGATGATATCAGTGATCACATTAAAAGTTTAGTAAACCTCTTTACATTCCCTTGAACTACAAGTTGATGTATGCGTGATGCATGTGCGTTTCGTCTTTTGAACATGTTTATGATATTGTAAATGTTTTTTTTTTATAGTCAAATGAGTAATGATGCCACCCCAGTGACAGCCTGGGCTACTGGTAATAATGATAGCTGGACACATTTACAAAAAGGTTTTAAACATTTATCAGTAGAATATGCAGCTTTAGCTGATAAAGCTACACATGAGGTAAGCTGTTTACATTTTAAAACAGGACTTCCCTTCTGATTAGGTATTAGGGGTTGAGAGCCAACACCGGGCTGACTCTAATAAGCACTGGTACAGGCATCAGAATTTTTCCTACTTTGAGGAGGATTCGAACCCACAGCACCTAATGGTCTAGTAGACGGCAATTCAACTCGCTACTAACTGAGTTATTATTATGGATAGAAAGGAATAGAATATTAATTAAATTTGGTAAATATTTATAGGCACTAGAAGCTGAAGAAGGGGTTGTAGAAAAATTATCATTATTCCAAGATATGTTAGTGGCTTACAGAGTGAGTACAAAATTGAAACGAACACAATTTAAAAAAGGATTTTGTCAGATCACAAATAGCAAGTGTATTTGATCAACTGTAGAACTAAGAGAACAAACAAAAAATGAATTCCCACATCAACGATATATTTGATAAAAACTTCTAGATGGTGATATATAACTTTGCCATTTGACATGTTCTCTGCATTTCCACTTTGTTGGACTAATTTATTATTTTTTGGCTGGATTTGGTTTGGCCAGAAGAATTTCAAAGCCAGGCATTGAGCAGCCTTTTAAAGCAAAGATATTTTTTGTAGGATTTATGTGATAGACATGAAAAAGGTGTACTCAATGATCACCAAAGAGCAATACAGAAAATGGGGCAATATAAGAAGAAAAAAATGTCTGCAACTGTAAATACTGCTGAGGTTTGTGTTCATTATTTATTTAATCAGCTTATGGTTACTTTTTTCATTTTTGCAGTTTATATATCATATTAAATGCTTAACAAAAAATCCAGATGAATTTAATACTGTAGACCAAAATTAAGTAACAGGTGTGCTCGTCTTACAGCTCAAGGTTTGAGTGTTGAATCTCACTTCAAACCTTATGCTTCAGCAAAGTTTGCCTGGAGCTAGAGAAACTAAGACAATTTTTGTGTATCTTACAATTTATCATGTATATAACTTCTAACCAACCATTCCCTTCAAGCTTATTTTATATTGTGCTTCAATCCTAAATGAAATTCCATCCCTTCCTTTTCTAGACAGGCACAGTTGAACAATTAGAACAGAGAATTTTAGATGTAAGTCTTATCTTTTGATTGTATAATGTAGCTTGATGGATTCTAAAATGTTTTTTTTAGCCTTTTTATGTATTCAAGATACTTGTAACTCATTTCCAGCCTAAAATTCCAGTGATTCCAATAAAATAGATTTGTTTGGATATCATTTGAACTTAAGCCACCAAAATTTTCGGCAAATTGGAAAAAACGAATTTAGACTTTAAAATGGAATGGTACAGCTTTTGTGATGCCAGATCTGGAAGATTTTTTACAATCTTATATCGTGGGTGACAGCTTGAAACCTTGATAACGATGTATGATGGGAAATTACTTTTCCAGAAAAACGCAAAAAACTATTTGTACGCGTATTTTGTTACAATCTTTTTTTTTCTTTTTTTTACCACTATACATGGTATTCATTCTTTGAAAATTTAAATCTCTTATAACAATTTGAGTACTCCAGCCTATTCAACCAATAACATATATAATAGTTCAGTATACAAGGTTTTTCGTTTTCAACCGCATTACCTCATTACGAGGTTTTAAATCTGAATGATTATATTTGATTAGTGGTTTTTGGGTTATTTACAATCAAGCTGAGAATACGAGGATTTGATCACAAGATCTGCGCTTTTACGAGAGCTTTCTAACGGTACCAAAAAGTAAAAATGACCAAATATGGCATATACAAGGTTTCAATCAGTCACCCACGATATACCAATATTGTAGGTCTTTGCACGTAAGTTTGTAACAGCTGCACAACAAACCCTATCCATTACAATGCACATGTAAATGAACAACCAAGTGGTGAATGATATAACGATACCAAATTAATTTCCAAACCATTATTATGATCTGTTTGAGAAATATAGAAAATTGCATTGGAATTGCTTCAAATAAAACCTAATTATTTCCAATAACTATTGAAAACTGCTAAAAATAAGTTGGTCATGTTAATATACAATTTGAAAAAAGTTTAGAGTAAAATAAAAATTAAAATATTTTGACGACAATCAAATATGCACAAGGCGTATGAATTTGCCAAAACTGTGTAAGAAGTTGTTTTTATTCTGGCTCTTTTTAATTTGCAGCAAGAAAGTCAAATTGCCAACATGGAAAATAGGAATTATTATTCTTTACATTGTCTTCAAATGGAAACACAATTGATACATGGTAATTTAGACATATTTTATGAAGTTCTCAGTACAATGGCAGACGTGGAAGCTAGAGCACATTCAGAGGTAGGCGAATTTTGTTATTTTGGGCAATCTACAATTTGTATCTACAATATGCATTTTACAAGTATATAACCTCATGCTTATAAAGATAAACACACAAAATGTGATTGGTTTGCATATTCATTGAACACTAAACATTGAATATTAAAAAAAAAAAACCCAAAAGTCCAAAAACTCAACATTTTGGTGTCTGTGTTATAAACCTAACTGTTATTTTATGTAGATGGATTGGACATTTTTTACGTTGATAGAGATGTTTCCAGATTTACTCAGAAGTCAGGGGTCAGAAAGAGTGCCCACAATTTTGAGCAAAATGGATTTTCTCTAATATACTTGAGGATTAGATGGAGGGGTAAATAGTACAATGCCAGATTTACTAGAGGTGCTCATCTGCACATTTTACAACCTTGAAAATTGAATTGAATATATTGCAGTATTCCAAAACACCATTTCATTTGTTTGATTTTTTTTCAGTTGGCAAATGTTTGGTCAGCCGTGAGACCTCTAGTGGAAGGGTTAAACCCTACAACTGTCTCGAGTCCATCGTCGCCTACAACAATATCGCCTATAGGTTCGCCTCTAAACAGTCATACTGGTATTACAATGTAAATAACAAGCAAACAACTGTGATTAACTATTTTTATATCATTACCATTTTCTACTTTAATATGATATTTTTATAGAAAAATATGTACAAAATATTTTTAAAGAGATTCTGTTGCGTTCTTATGAAATCAAACTGTATACTGATCATTACCTGTCCATATAACACACTGATAGATATTTTGTTTAGTTTATTTTCTGTGGGTTACTTTGCTCATTCTGTAAGTTTTTTTTTTAGACACAATTGGCATAGAAATTTATTCAACATAATGCAATATATTGGAGGGGTAGGTTTTTCTATTTGTAGAATTCTATAAGTTATGCATATCCTTGGAATATATTTTGGTACCTTGTGAGGCACATCGACATCATAGAATATCTGGTATTGTCTTGATGGATTCATTTTTCAGCTATTTATAGATACTAAGAGTTATTCCAAATTTGGCTATTTTCAAGGTGAAAATTCTCTAAAACTGGAATAAAAAGTAACAGTTTATATCAGGCCCTGAACGTATTGATATTCCATCTGTATATCACATTGAGGAACAGGTAAGGCAAGATTTGTTGGACTACTTATAGACATGCCTTTTGTTACAAATGTCTATAGATCCTTGTATGAGGGAGGCAATCCACAGAAAATATATCTAAAACAAGATGTCTAATTATAAAAATATGTTCTTCACCAGCTCTCTCTTGGTCTCAATCTTCACTGCTTTTGATGTCATGAAAACATTTTGACCTGTAATCCCTCTTCTTAACTATTTCTTCCTTGATAAAAAAAAATGTATTCTGAAAAGGTTTTCAAGACTTCTGAATGTGTATCAGAAACATTTATTGTTTCTATCAACACCATTCTGATTTCTCTTTCAAATTCTGGTTTCAAGAAAAAATTGCTGAAACCATTTGGCTTCAATTGCATATGCATGACGTCTTCATTTGGTTAGGTTTTCCAAAGTTTAAGGAACCTCAAAATAAGTTGTGGTGCTAGTAGAAGCTATAATTGTCTCTGATACACTTACAAGGTCAGAAAACCTCATCAGTGGAAATGAGATCCAAAAAATAATTCCTCATTAAAATCAAAGTAGCTCATAGTTATGTTATATTTAAGTTCTTGCACTTTGTAGAAAATCCACTTTGTTTGTAGTTTTAAGTTCACATTGATATAATTATTTTGTGTTGCAATGTATTATTAATAGCAAAATTAATATTCTGAACTTGATTTAGATTTGCAACTTTCTTGACCAAAGTGGATTTGGGCTGAAATGCTAAAATCAGTCATCGTTTTATTTTTTATTAGCTTATTTTTTTTAATAATCACTACAGTTAGGGTCTAAAGACAGCCTTCTTGAACATTCATTTGTTCAACATAAGGTGAATTCAGTGTCTAATGCTTCTCAGAATGCACCTTTTGTTCTAGTCGCAAAATCCAAGCATTACAGAGGGGAGGAATTTGATTGGCTGGAAGTGTCATCAAACGTATGAATGTTCTAAAGTGGCGTAAGATAATATCAATATTAAGACATCATTGATAATTTCTGCCGGCAAGAACTTGCTACCTGCTTTACAAAAACTTAGCTTACATGAAAACGATGTGAAATACAGCCGTTTGATTGGTTAGTTAAGCTGGATTTAAAATTGATAGACCAATCAGATGGCCTGATCACCTAATTTTTCATAAGTTCAGTTTTTATTAAATATGCTCAATGAAATTAAGAAAATTCTATCCCCTTTAAGGCAAATTGGAATATTTTCAGTTGAAATTTTAAAACTATGTAAGCATTTATAATAATCTTATTTATACCCTGTGAATTAGTTTAGTTTAGAATTGGTCTTGATTATTTAGTGCAAAATATATAGTAAAATTGAAATAGGTGAATTAAAGAAGGTTTTCCTATTTCCTAAGTTTTTTGACAGAAAGTTTTTATAGTGGTAAAATCATTAATATTCCAGTTTTAATAACCATTCCTGTTTTAACTTATTATAGCTTGTGATCAGTATTCGCTTCACCTATTGCCAATTTGCCATCCCTTAAAGCTTACATCTATCGATTTTAGTTTCCATTGAAAATTTGTATTGAGAAGTTTGAAAAGTCTGTCATTTTCACAATATCAAGACATTATACACTGCTTCTAATACCTTGACATCATTGGGTATTTTTCTTGTATTTTATTTTTCTTGAAAATTTTGTGAAATAATTGTTTTCTGTTGAGAGTTCTGATTGGCTGTCTTTGTTATTGTACTATCCAATCAAATTGCTGCATTCACAATATTTCATAATACAAGAAAAGTGCCTAATGATATCTAGGAATTTAATGTCTTCACATTGTGTGGTGATCTGTTGATTTAAAATGTAGTTAAAGATATTTATACTCATATGAGTCTAGTTAATGGGATTGTAAAGAGATTTTCTAAAAGTTTTATGTGTATCGGGAAAATGGGTTTAGTTTCAAATACTTAAAATATTTTGGTGCATATTCAGTTGTTAATTTTGTTATAGTTAATATTTTATTCAGAATAAGGGTTTATTTGGTGCATATCATGATCTGAATTTAATTTCTCTTTTTCATCGAATTACTGCTGTCAAGTTTCTATCATCGAACAGATTTTCTCTAGTAAATTTTGTGCCAAGTGCCTTTAGATGTAGCAAAGGTTTAATTCTGTATTTTCATTATTTTTTTGCATGTTTTTTTTAAGTTTGTGTTTTAGCCTTAGTATTTGTATCGAGAACACATTTGCCACTTCCGATATCTTTGGTTCTAGTAATTCCAGACAAACTTGATAATATCACTATCACAAATACCATTAAAGCCAAATTTTAACGTAAATTTTATCGTAAAACGTTTTTTCTCAAATATGTCCATAGTCTTCAGAAGTACCAAAAATTCTTGTGTCTTTTCTGTATATAACAGAGTATCTTCGAATGACAAGTCATCATTTTAACATTCAAGCGCGGATAATTCTGGACACAAATGGATTTGAAGGTTTAAAATTTGACGGTGAAATGTGAACACTATTACTGATAGGCTTAACTAAAGTATGATTGGTCAAAAAGAATGGCGCACTTGTCCCTTTAAGTGTTTCTGATACACATACAAAGGCTTAGAAAAAATTGAAGTTTTTGAACTACATGCATGCTTTTGGTGTTTGTTAAATTATTAAGAATATAAGGGTTCTATTGCTTTATGATTTAACAATTTGGGATACCTACTTTAGTACAATATGATGTACAGCTTGTAGATATTAAAGATAAATTGCCATAATATATGTATATATGGCAAGCTTGGTAAATAGGTAGTGCATAATCAGCTTATGTACTAGAATAAATTTGATCTTTGAAATTATATGTCTCAGGAAATTTAATCGTTGTGCATTCCTTAAAGGGATACTACCTCTTAGAATAAACCTAAAGTTTAAAGTCTCTAACTTGGTCAATAAGTGTATATATTCATCAGTTGTACTTAACTAGTGCCATGACTAAAAAATAGAATCTCTATATAAGACAATATAGCCATTAAACCAAGTAATTATTTATATAAAAACGCTTCTAAGCATGTTTCAATAATTACTTAATGAATTATTACTTTAGTTTTATGGATTTATGGGATTATAGAGGGATTCTGTTGATAGTTATTACATCAGGTAAGTCTACTGATGAATCTTAACCAAGTGTAAAAAATTCAATTTTTGGGTCATTGGGTAAGAGGTAGTGTACCTTTAAAGTTATCTTGTCAGACTCTTGTTGCACTTGCTTTAAACTTTGTTCAGTACAAAAAGCATTGGTAAATGGATACTGTCAAAGTTACCATTGTAATCAATCTAATTAATATTAATTACAATTTTGTTTCTTTTTCTTTTACTGAGATTTTTTTGTTTTCACAGTAATCTGACAAGTTCTCAACCAAAGATTTGTCCTAAAGGTAGTATGTAATTTTTACCAATCAAAGCGTGTCATGTAGAACCAGTTTCTTGATATCCCACAATTCTTTATCAAGAAACAAAACGATTTGATTGGTTAAAATAACATCATTGGAATGGACTTTTGGTAAAAAAAACTCTTTAGATTGCAGTGTAGACTAGAATTATCAAAAAACAAAAGAGATAGATTGTAATCTAATATTAATTAATTAGATTGCATTGGAAGATATTTCTGCATTTAGTTTTGACATTTGACTATTGTTAACTCAAAAAAGTACACATAGGTGAAACAGATAAAGTTTTTTAATTAAGGATTTGCTTATTTCATAGAGCTTAATTCCAGCCATTTGCATCACTTTTCAGAATGAGATGATGGAAGCAGTTAATAACAGTTCAAAGTTAGATTGCAGTAATTCCTTCAGGAAATTTTTTAATTGCTAACAAATTATGCATTAGATTTTCATTATGAAAAGTGTTACGGATAGCTGAAATGTTGCAATTTGACTGGGGAGTTCTGCATGTTAGAGATTTGTGGAATCAACCGGACAGTCAATAAAACAAGTTGGAACAGAGTTCAGAATGTATTCCACTTGTGCGGAAAAAAATAGAAGGTGCAGATAGAATTATAATTGGCAGAGAAGGAAATTTTCGCTTTCAAATTGGCAGAGTAGGAAATTTTTTGCTTGATTGGTGGCAGAATTGAAACAGACAGAATCTGTTTAGAACTCTCCAATCGAGCCCCATCCTGGTCAGTAATTTATGCCTATATAATTTGGCGATAGTGGTTATAATTATTATTAATGTTAAATTTGAAGAGTATTGTATTAAACATGTATATCAAAATGAAATCTTTTAAAGATGTTTATATATCTATAATCAGGTGCTTTATTTGTTTATAAATATCCATTATATATCATTATTACTATTATTATTATTATTATTAGCACCATGTTTGTTTTGTTGTATTTATTAAAATTTATCAAATCATTATCTGATTATTTTAGAGAAAAAAGAATTGGAAAAATGTGGATGTTGGTAAGAACATTCGAAACTTTATATGACAGCTTGGTTACATCAAACAAATGGTGGTTGTGGATGTTCTAATCTCAGTCAGTGATTTCTAGTGACCTTGAATTAGGCACCTTTCTTTATTATTGTAACTGTAAATGGTTTAGGATAATTTGGAAAATATCAATGCCAATGCCATAAATTTTCAATATAGAAATCTCAGTAAATTTTCATTAAAATGTAAGATTTATTTGCATAACATAACAAGGAGCAAATTCAAAAATTAACAAAAGAAATGCTAAAAATATGCACATCCTAACTCTTTAACATATAATATATTTTCTAGACACATTCTGGATTTCTTAAAGGGATTATAAAGAGTTTTTTTTTCAAATATATATTATGTGTATCAGGGACACTGATAGCATCAATTTGTACCATTTCAATTTTTGGTCACTTTCTATGGTTCCTGCAATTCCACTAAAGCTACATGTTTGAAGATGTCAATAATTGCAAAATGTGCTTTATCTCATGAGGACCTTTGCTATTAGTGATGTCATCAAGCACTTAAGTTTTAGTGGAATTGCAGGTACAGCAAGTCCGATTCAAAATTGAAATGGTGCAAATTGATGCTATCAGTGTCCCGGATACACATAAAAAATGTAGAAAATGTCATTATAATCCCTTTAATAGACTAGATATCAACTTGTAAAATTCAAAGATAACATGCAATTAAAAATAAAATTATTTACAATATAAAATTATAAAAGATATATACATAATAAAATTTAAATGCATTGATAAAATTGAACATTTCTACAATATAACTACAAATTTTTTAGAAAATTTGGTGGTCAAATTCATTAATGTTAACAAAAGTAAATAAATTTTCATACATGATGTATAAAAATTAATTGGCGGTGAATTTGGCATCAGAAAATAATTCTTATTCAATAGCAATACTGCATTGATGACCATCAGCAATACTTCATTGATGACAATCAGCAATACTTCATTGATAATCATCAGCAATACAGCATTGATGATCATCAGCAATACTTCATTGATGACCATCAGTAATACTTCATTGATGACCATCAGCAATACTTCATTGATGACCATCAGTAATACTTCATTGATGACCATCAGCAATACTTCATTGATGACCATCAGCAATACTTCATTGATGACCATCAGCAAAAGTGTATTGAACACCATCAGCAATACTGCATTGATGACCATCAGCAAAACAGCATTGATGACCATCAGCATTACTGCCTTGATGACCATCAGCAATACAGCATTGAAGACCATCAGCAATATTTCATTGATGACCATCAGCAATACTGCATTGATGACCATCAGCAATACTGCATTGATGACCAACAGCAATACTGCATTGATTACCATCGGCAATATAGCATTGAAGACCATCAGCTATACTTAATTGATGACCATCAGCAGTACTGCATTGAAAATCATCAGCAATACAGCATTGAAAACCATCAGCAATACAGCATTGAAGACCATCAGCAACAATTCAATTGATAGCAATTCTAAACTGAAGACCATCAGCAACTATTCAATTTGATAGCAATTCTGGACTGATGACCATCAGCAACTATTCAATTTGATAGCAATTCTAAACTGATGACCATCAGCACCTGTCTCTTATTCAATAGCAATACTAGACTGAAGATCATCAGCAACTTTTCAATTTGATAGCAATTCTAGACTGGCACAATTTGGCAATTCTAGACTGATGACCATCAGCAACTGTTTCTTATTCAATAGCAATACTAGACTGAAGACCATCAGCAACTATTTCTTCTGAATGTAATGTTTTCACTTTTCCAGTACTTCTGTCTTTAGATGTATGTGTTAAAAAATGATGTCCTGGGTGAGCTAGGCTAGTTTCAACTCTTACTGTAGTTAAATAACCACTTTGGTTTGGTTGCTGAAATAATGAAAAATGCAGTAAATCAGTAAATATAAAGCATTTTTTTCCTTTGTTGCATCTATTTTATCATATACATTAACATGTCAATGTCAACAGGCTTCTAAGGAAATTTGTGGTGAAATGTCAAAGAGCACTAGAAATTTTCTCTGGTTTAGATCCGAATTAGAAGATTTGGCGCCTTATTCCATAGCAGACAAAAATCTACTTTGTTTTTTAACGTTCAAAATTATGCTAAAATCTCAAATTAAGTGAAATGGAGTTTAACGTCCTACTTTTCGGAAATTTTGCCAGGATAGAGGCATTAGCCTAATCTTTTTGACTTCCAATTGTTGAGGGATCTTTAACGTGCCTAGTCTGTAGCACACGGGGGCCTTGGTTTATTGTCTCATCCTACAGCAACACATCTTTTCATGTCAGCCCCCCTTACCTGCATTACTGACAAGTGGTGTCGAAATCTCGATTTCGTTTACCTGATTTTTATAACTGTTAGCATTAGTATAGGGACTTTTCTTGGCTTTATGTTTCTTCTTCTTCACTTGAAGTGGAGGAAGATCTAAATAATTCTCTAAAAGAAAAGAGAGAAAATCTTCTCTGAAGCAAAACAGAGTGTAATTTTAACCCAACAATGGAAGGTAAGTTAGACTCTCTTTCTAATGTGTGCTATAAGTGAATTGGTTCTTTTACATGACGTCATTTGCTTGGTTATGTCGAATATATGATGGCTGTGAGTTTGATCAGCATTTGAAAGTTTGATGCCTTCAATAAGTCATCTTCACTCATATTTCTAGTTTACTCAGCGAAGAGGTTTGGCCAAGGACCAGCTGGTAGAAATCATCCTTATTTGTGAACCTAAGTTGTTATCCTTTCTTTCTTTCTTAATCTGATAGGGCTAGTTTCGAATTTGATTTTCATTTTTTTGTTTATTATGAATACTTTATACACATCTACATTCATGAAATTTATCATAAACTGTAGATTCTAGAGTATTTACATGGAAGTACAAATGTACAGACAAACATTGACACAGAGAGATAAAGGTGACATATAGACATACCATCAGAGAAGATATCATGATAAGGAAAGTTTTCACCATCACTACTATAATTATGAAGATTTCTAGGTTGGTAAGATTTTACTTTATAATTATCTACTTCATCTTCTTCTTCTTCAAATCTCTACAATGATCATTTAAATCAAAACGACTCCAAAACACTTATTGCGGTTTAATGTTGTTGCTACAGGCTGTGTAGGTTAAAGATCTACCAACAGTTTGAAATCGGAAAACAGGAAGCTAATGCTGCTGTCATGGCAAAATTTAGCCCAATTAGGTGCAGAAAAGTAGGATGTAAACCTCATTTAATTTAATTTCATTTGCAATCAAATTTTTTGTTGATCAATCCCATACCAGCATTATCAAAAAAGTTATTTCATTGTACAAATGTAAATTAATGTTGCTTTATACATTAGTACATAACTGAGTCACCATAGGCATTTTTATGCTCCTATTATGCACCTACCTATGTCTCCAGGGCATATACATAAATACTAGATCATTCTTATACTGCCATATGCACACATTAGTTCAGTTCTTAATATTTTTACAAAAAATTCTAACAGAATTACCTGTCTCGTATTCTGTGCAGATGAAAAATTAGGTTGCTTTCTTTCAGAGCTTGATTTACACACTTCATCCATTATTTCTTCTAATAAATCACTACTTTCCTCTGAAACATCCAAACATAGCACATAAAATCTGTTATAACTGGGGCCTTGTTCAACATTCAAATAAATGATTGTGCAATGTCGTGCACTGTGTCACAGCATATTCTTTTTTGATTCATATAATCACTTTAAAGAGATCTTCAACATGCATAGCCTGGACATAGCATAGGAGCCTTGGGTTATTGTTCTATCCAAACAACTATCTAGGCCCTTTGTCATGTCCCTGAGCTGCATCACTGACAAGGTTGAAAGATCTCCACCTATGGCCTAAGCCATGATCAAACTCTGATTTGGAGAAAATAAAAGACATACCGTCCTTACTAGGGCTACACATAGTAGTGTCTTGTTGTAAATCTTGTTGTACTTTCTTGAGTTCATCACTAACCCAGACTGTAATGAGATCAGAATCAACACTACTGGCACTGGGAATGTCCACTTGATCTTTAAAACAAAGATTAATCTTATCAGACCAGCACATCATTCTGGGGCCAATTCAACAAGAGAAAATAATATCTTTAGGTAGTTCAGGTGGTAATGAATACAATACGAGTCTTGCTTTAATATCATTTACTATTTACCTCACAACAAAATAGACTATTCTTGTTTATGTTAAAGATCTATTGTAATATCAAGACTTATATTCAAATTTTCTAAATTCAACTGCTTGTGATAATTTTAATTAGTCTAGATCAGGGATAATTTAGAAATTTTTGGGATGTTTCGTAGTCTGGCATTTAATTTTCTGACCATTCTAAGTGGTTCTCCAACAGATTGCAGAGAAAACAGAATATCTAGAAATTTTAAGGATTCATATGGAAAAGGGATTTTGAATTTAGCCGAGATAGTATACATCTGAACAAGGCATTATGTACAAGAATTCAGCGTTAATATAGAATGTATGACAATATTTTGTTAATATAAACAGTAATACTCAACTATTTTGGTGATCAGTGCTACAAGCTGTAGATAATGTTGTTAAACTAGATTGACTATCATTATCATCATTACCATAATCATCTGTTTTATTATCATCTTGTTTATATAAACTATATATAGGTGATGTTCTCACATCTACAAAAATTTACACTAGTAAGTATAATTCACCCATATATTTCTTTAGTTGCTGTTCAGCAATTGGGTGAGCAATGCAGTGTGCAATGAGGGTTGCTGTTGTCTGTTTATGTGTTTTTATTGGTGATCCTATGTAGAGGATATAAGTGCCAAGAAGACAACACAGTCCATCACTATAAGTTATAATGTTGGTATGTCCAGATGAAACTCACTCTAAACTATAATACAACTGGAAACTGAATCAGCGGATTAACGGGTAATTTTACATAGTTATTATATTCCGTTCCCAGTTAAAGCATGCAGATATCGGGGTTTTCAGATTATCGGCAATCAGATAAACTGGGCTCCACTACATCACAACAGACAAAATACTAACTCAACACTAACCTTTACTAGTCTTTAAAGATTGTGCTTTCATATTTTTAGGTTTGATATCTGGTGATTTACTAGCTGACCTTGGATACATTGGTGGCTGAAATATATCATAGATCGCAAGTCTTTGTTACTCACATTAAATGACTGTTCTCCTGACAGAGCCACAAAACTGAAATTTTATAATATCTCATCGTAATGTAGGCTGAATTAGGTCTGAAGATTGCACAGTGTGAAACTCTGTCCAGTCCAAAGAAAATCATTGCCTCTTGGGGTAAAAAAGATGGTTTGATGTGGTTATGCACTCAAGTTTTGAATCTCTAATTGAAAGAAAAGAGAAGAATTTTTTATATCGCTACCAATTTTATCCAGATTGAGTCATATGTCAGCTCTTACCCCATAAAAAAACATATTTGTGATTCAAAATTAGACTCACCAAACTAGAAGCACTGTTGTTCAAGGTTTTTCTATTATCTTTACTACCAGAAGCTAGTTGACCATCTAAAACTGACTGATTAAAAGCATGCTGAAATATCAAAACAGGACATTAATATTCATGATCGTACTTATGAATATTCAATAAGACATGAAATGAAGCAACATCTAATAACCTCCTTGATTGGGCTAATGAAGAGCTATATATATGCAAATGAGGAAATTGTAATAAACTGTATTTGTTTACTATTTTTTCCTAATTCCGAATATCAAGGGGTCTTTAATATGAAAATTTTTTAAGTTCATCTTGACCTATGCTATTGGTTTCCCAATAATTTCAATGGATCCAGAAAACATTTGTATTTTGGGGTCTGCTTTAGGTGTTATTTTGAGTACTTGAATTTTTTTTTGTCACTTTTTTCTGCACATAACAGTAAAAGGTTTTAATGAATTTTTTCCTCCACCTACGCTTTCGTTTTCATAAATCATTTTTACATTAACCACTTTCATCTAAATCCCACAGTTACCAAAGCACAGCCATATGAACAAAAGAAATATGAGCTGTCATATACAAGAAGTTGACACTTACTTCATCAGTATGATGTTGATAATAAGAAACAAGATTTTTAACACTTCCTTGACCTCCATACCATTGAGGATCATTAATATAACTACAATATATCAGAATGAAAGGGATTATATATATATATAATAAAATTGGATTTGTATGGTGGGTGTGTAAATATTGCCAATAGTTAAACTCATTCAAGATCACCAGACTTTCACATGCCGACTAAGATTAGAACCCACAACCACCATTATTTAACATAAATCAAGCAAATATAGATTAAGATATTAGATATATTTTATATAAGTAAAGATTTCAACATGCTAACAGACTGTGCTACACTCCATCCTCCATTCAAGCAACACTTACCGCTTTCTATTTTCTGATGATGATTTACCGTTGAAATCAGAATGTTTTCTAGATCGGATAAAATAGTTTGGTTTCTTAGTAGGTGAAATATGTTCTTCATGCCCATGATCTGCATCGTAACTGGCATTATATAGCGCATATAAACTACCAGCTGTTGATAACTGTATACAGTCTGTGTTGGTAGCTGTTCGTCCATCTGTTATATGACTAGCTGGTTTAGCTATAGCACCACCACCAAAACCACCAAGTCTTTCATTAAGGGCAAGATAACTGAATTGAGATGGTGAAGTGTTGTCTGTTCGTCTGTTATCTGATGGTATGAACGTTCTGAAATAAATTTTCAACCCATAAAATACATTCTAAAAACAATATCTAAGGAAAACAAGATCTTCTTGCTTGCTTTGTTACCTTCAGGAAAATCGAAAAGGCAACCGCCATCACAATCAAGGAGTACTTTACTTATTGTATCTTTCAGACATCATACCTAGGGCTGGGTATCGATTACAAAATTGAGATCGATTATCGATGGCAGACTACTGATCAATAATTGATTAATAATCGAAATAATCTAATTGAGAAACCCTGTAAATACTAAATTAAAAACATGCTTAAATTCATGGGTTATTTTTGAATCATAGAAGTATATTCTTGCTTTGATCAGTTATTATAGTTTATTGTGGGTATGTTATGTGCTGAAGGGAACCTATGTAGAAGAGTTTACTACTTGTTAATGAGTAATGTAAAGAAATTGTAACTCTGACATATAAGCAATTATGAAATAGAATATCGATAATCGAAATCATGAAGTCCTAGAGAGGATAATCAATTATTTCGATCAGTTTACCCAGCTCTAACCATACCTTTTATTGGAGGATCGATCATCATCATAACTAGAGGTTTCATTCTGAGTTGTATCTTTAGGATAATCATTGTGATCATCATGATAATTATAAGGTTGTTGACGGTGTTGATGATGTTTACGTCGACTGGTAGGTGATCTTACTTTAACATGATAACCTGTAGTATGACCATCTACAGTTTTATTGATGTCAAATTCTATATCATCCCTACAACAGACAAGAAAAAATTTCATTCACTTTTTAGTTTCACATCCTTCTCTTCTGCACCTGATTGGGATAATGAAAATGGGCAACACTATGCAGTGTGCAATGAGGGAAATTTTGCCAGGGCAGCAGTAATAGTCTACTCTGTTTCGATTTCGAACTGTCAAGGAATTTTTGGTGTGCACAGCCTGTAGAACACCAGACTTCGAACAACCTTTCTAATCTTTCAAGATGTGTTTTGCTCAATTGAAGAACCAGACAGAAGTCAGATCTTAATTATGAAAAGTGTTACAGCTGAAATTGAACTGGTTATGTTGATATTTGGATAACTATAGCCTATGGAAGCGCCATACTATGTAATACAAAAATTTGGCGAGACTATCTTGAAGTCATCTGATCATGTGAACCAATATGGAGTCTCAACAATAGACCAATTGATTGCCAATGCTATTTCACGACTGCATGGGTCTTGGATTTCTTCAAAACTTACATCTTTCTAGTAAAGTGACCAGGTAATGATCTTTTACCAGGAGATTTAGCATGTTTCTCATATTGAAAATAATCAAATTTTTCTTGTTGGTATGTAGAACATCCATTATCTACATCATCATCTTCTGTCCTGTAAAAAAAACAACACCATGCAGTGTGCAATGAGTGGCATTTAGAATTATGATTTATTCCATGATCAATAAATATAATTTCAGAGAATAACGCTATAACTGAAAATTTATTGAATGAATGCAGTGTTACAGCCATCTGATTCAATTCCTTTATTTTACAACATTTTTTTAAACTTTTGCTCTAGATAATCATTCTTTAAATCAAATTGTTCTGCATCTCATATTTTTATTATCAACGGCAGATCTTACCAGTGTCCAGATCTTCTTCTAGATTCTCTATGATTATTTTCATTATAACTATAGGATCTCTGATGATGTGATGGAGCTGCTGCTGAGTTATTACGCGGTAGTTTAGGTTGACGTTTAGGCGAGCGTTCTGGTCTACTAGTACCAGTACGTCTACTAGTTTGTGGTTGAAAACCGTCAACATCGTCAATTTCTAACCGTGGTGCTGATCCTTCTACATGATGAGTATATTTTGGAGGCATGACTGGTTTCTGTAACAAAACATTTGTTGATATATGTATACTAAGTTTTGAGTCTTGAAAATATGTAAATAGTCTTCAGAAATAGTACAATGTACTAGAAAATCGCATATTTCCTTTAAAAATACTTCAAACTAGGAATTTTACTCACTATATATGTATATGTCTTTTCTATATATCACAGAGTGTCTTAAAATAATGAGTCGTCATTTAAACATTAAAACGTGGATAATTCTGGACACTATTACTAATTGGCATAGCTAAGAAATTCCTGTTTCTGATACTTAAGTATGATTGGTCAAAAAGAATGGTTCATCTGTCCTTTTATGTCACTCTATATTCAAACACATTAGAATACTTCTTCAGAAAAATTTCATTTATAGTTTGGGAATTTAGAACTCAAACTGAACGCAATATTGGTGCCGGTACGTGTTAATCTGAACTTACTGAGTCTGGTGGCGCCATTAACCATGTCCTGATAATATCAAAATCTAATGTTCTGTAATTATATTCCAATTCTAGACCATTCTCAATAATAGTACGAAATAATACAGGTATCTTATCATGTTCCTTTAATAAGCTCTGTCTTTCAACTAATAATTTATGTTTAATATAACCAGCATCTTTCAAATCCCATGGTACCTCACCTTTAATATAAAATTCAATCTAAAAAGTCTGGGAGCAAGCTGGCAACTTGAGACAAGCACTAGTTGAATATTCTCAATAATTCATTGCTCCTGTAAGAAAGTTTGCTTTGCTCATTGCATACAATCCACTTTTTCCATTACTAATGAGGAATGAGCATCAGAAACACAAGTCAGCATTCTAAGGTGATCCCTAATTGATTAGAGCTGAGTCAAGTCTTTTAAAATCCATAATGTGCCTGAGGAAGACGGGGGAAAAACGTCGAAACGTTGCATAAAACCTTAAGCAGTGATTGTTTTACCATAAAGCTGTGTCTATATATCATAATATGCTCATTATCGACTTTTTCACTCCTGATAAGCAAATTCTTTTCACTGAATTGTTATATAAGACAGTGGACGCTAACCACTTCTATCAACTATATTACCAAATATCACAGTTATAAAGTTATGAATTAATATATATAGAAACTAAGATACAATGTTAATTTCTGTCCTATTACCCCATATCACGTTATGTATCGTATCTTGACCCTTGTATCACGTTATGTATCCTATCGTGACATATTTGACGATACCCAGCACTAGTGCACACACAAAATCTTCAAAAGTCATTGCTGAAAATTTAATTGTTATTGCTGATGGACACATTACGGACTTCATTTAAAATTATTTAAAATTTCACAGTTAATACTGGTGATAAAGTTTCTCTTCCACTTTCTATAGAATTAAAATAATTTACTTACCAATGGTGCTATCTTTAATTATAACTTATAACAATGCCAAAACTAGGGCAAACAAACTAAGAAAATGAAAAATACAAACAACACAAATCAACATAAGGCAAATTATTAACATCCAAAATACCAAAACCATGAATATTTAAATTCAAAAACTTATACGTACCAACAAAAATTTCCCAAATAATACATGAATAACTATATACATCACTATAAAATCCTGTTTCACTCTGTTCCATTATTTCTGGCGCCATCCAATTATATAGAGCATTCTGATATTTAATATGGAATGCCTCACTTAATTTACCAAGATTAGCTTTTTCACTGAAACAAATAAAACAAAATGAAGTTTTGCATCCTTCTTTCCTGCTCGCTTATGAGACCTTTTTTTTTTAAATATCTAAAATTATTTAATACAATTTTCCAAAGTTATACAGCAATAATATTGCTCAATACACGGCTCAAGGCTTATTTCTAAAAAAAAGAATCAATTTTGAGTTTCAAATCACAAAATTACACGCTTTGAAAAAATCTCCCGACTGTTCACCCAATGTCCAGATTTTTCAAGTCAAATCTCCAGATTTTTTTTCCTGACCTGTACACATGTATGTCTGCTCTTGATATGGCTATAGAGATATGCAACTTCATGCAACCTTTACCAGCAGATAAGCAGCATTGATATACATGTACTCAATATGCGATTGCCTGTAGATTTTCAATCTGTATAAGCTATAGCACAAGAGGCCAAGGTTGATAATTTCAACTAAAATACTAGCTGCTTTTTCCATGTCAGCCCTTGTGATCTACATCACTCAGAGTGGGAAAAGAGTTACAGCAATCTATAACATTCAGGATGCTGCAACTTGCTTGAGAAGATGGCAAAAACAGTACATAACCTATTTTTAAAAAGTAGATCACATCTTGAATGTGGGAAACATTGATTGACAGACGAACATGGGTCCTGTCTGACAAAATACATCCATATGGAGCCCCTAGAGTGGGCATTTTTAAAAAAAATACAAACTTACCTGTCCATAGCATATTCAAAATTACCAATTTTAGCTGAATATGGATTAACTAAGAAGATAGCATGAGATGATAAATTACAATGGATGATATCATGTTGATGTAAAAATATCATACCATCACAAATCTGTAGTACTATATCACGAATATTCTGTGTTGGTAATCTTTCAAGCTAGAAAATAAAAATAACACTATAATCTCTATCTTAAGTGGGTTACTACACACACCCCCAATGATCTGACGAGTTTTTAAGTATGAGAAGTTCTAGGTCAGTGTAACTCAGTGTTTTAAGGTTAGCATGTATTTGAAATTTAACTTTGCAGTTGTCAATTTTCACATTTTGGCCATATTTTTTACAATTAGAGTAGCAAATGGTGCAAAACTTGTTTTGGGTATTTCTTGATGCCCTAGACCTACTCCAGATCGAGGGATATGACTTTGAGTCATATGATGGCCAAAAAATTAAGTCAAATTTACCCTGGCATGTAGATAATAATACAAGGAACCAACATTAACTCTTTCAAATATTAACATCATAGTATCTAATGTAGTAGTTTGACATACACCCATTAATAATAAAATATTAGGATGATGTAGTTTGCTGAAAAAAATAACAATTATCTTGACAAAGTACTGAGGCCTTATTCTTAACTGAAATAAAATCCAGGCTAAAATTAAGAAACCTGATTGGATGATAAAACATAATTTTAGTGATTGACCAATCAGATGACTAGAATACTAAAATCGTTTTAACCAAATTTTCGAGAATAAGGCTCCTAGTTTTCAGCAGAGTAAATGCAATTTAATTGGCACTGAATTCTTTGAAGGTATAGTAATTATACATTGTAATGTTAGATATTTAGGTTTTACAGAAGATAAGGTTCAATCCAGAATTCCAGAGAATTTTTATTACATTTGTCTTAAATGTAACATCAAAATCTACTTTGAAATTCAGGATTTACAGTTACTTCAAAACATTTGCAAATAATTCTTTTAAAGTTTGCTAGGGTATGAAAAGCATATAGCTTACCCTAATGTTTCAGATTCTGTTATAAGTAAGTCTATGAAACCTCCAGGCTGTGTAGATTTCTGTAACTTTTTAATGGTAACAGGAGTTCTATTCCAAAATGAGCTATAAAAAAATCAAGCATAAGCTTTATATAAGAGAACAATAGCTTATTCAGTGAAATGAAATATTGCTCTGCTTCAGATTGGGCTAATAAATCCCATGCAGTGTGCAATTAGGAAAATTTTGTCAAAACAGAAGCATTAGCTTCGAACAGTTGAGGATTCTGAACTGCAATACACATGACCAAGGTTTTTTGCAATTTTGTCCATGTTGGCATAAAAACTATTTAAGCACCTACCTTTCCATGAACATAAAAGCACCATTATCAAAACTGACACCATAATTATCATATAGTAAGGCTGATTCTTGTATAAGAGGTGTAACAGAGACTAAACCATTATCTTTACCACTAGTATATACCTACAAATATGTTTTTTATTAGTATAAGGTCCTACCTGCACCGCAGTGTATGAATATTTTTATATATTTAATATTTGTAAAACTGAGGCTTGTTTAAGTATAAGAATTTAAGGTTTTTAACATACTGAACAGAAACCTACCGTCAAAAAAGTGACAGTCTAAGGTCTATCAGTAACCATGATATTAAGAGTTTCATTTTGAAAAGTGATACAGTCGGCTAAAATTTATTAGCTGCAAATACTAACATATTTATATATAATTATATATATTATTCATATTGAAACTGCATGTGAAATTTCCCAATTAATGGAGGTGGACAGAAGAACTGCTTAAACTATAACTAAATGCTTACCCTTCCAAATCCTTTACTTTCTACTTTTCTTAAACTACTATTACTATTTAATGGACTGGCACCAACTTTTTTACGTATCATATCCATTAAAGAATCTGGTATTCTCAATAAGGTTCTAGAAATAGATCATTAAAAATTTTGAAGTATAGACTAAGATTACGTGTAAGGTGCAGGCATGTAGAATTATTTGTTCCATTAGTGCACATTTTTGGAGTTTTTTTTTTACCCTCAAAGGGCATTCTTGTGTTTTAATTGTAGGCCTAACTGATGTTTAATTTAGATGAAAGTAGTTGTAAGGTTGTAAAAACAATATATAATTGAAATTATGAAAGCACAGGCCAAGGAGAAAATTCAGAAACAAGAATTTAGGAATCTTACCAACAGTAGCATAATTTAAAAAAAATGTGAGAGAACCATGTGAAACTCTTTGCAACCTTACTTTATGCAAAATTAAAAAGGCAAATGTTATGGCACTGTTTAATTTACCCCTACCCTGACAAATTCTAGTGCCTGTGCCTGTGCTTTTGAGAGTTGGCCCGATGTCATCTCTCGTTCCCTGATAATTAACATAAGCTTACCTATTTCTATCTGGTCGTCCATCATCTTGAAATTTGACCTGTTTTTTACCATAAGTCATGGCATGTACTTGGGATTTATTTAAAAACTCTAACATTTTTGATCTCTTGGTTGGGATACCACACATAAGTGCCCAATCTTGACAGCTTCTTCCATTATTATCGTGATATCTTAAATCTCCACCAGCTTCTATCAATCGACATAATAAGTTCATATTACCACGGAAACAGGCCATTAATACAGGAGTTTGGCCATTATTAGTTTTCCTAAAAAAAAATTTGACATTTAAGTGCAAATCAAAAAGGCCAATGAGATTCACCCAATAGAACAATAATGCGTTTTATTTTTCTTTTTTTGATTGGGGTAATGAAAACAAGTACAATAATATGCAGTATGCAATAAGGGAAATTTTGCAACAGCAGCATAAGTCCATTCTTGTTGAAAAATTCATTAAAATTCTTATCTTAGTGAAATTTCAAATATAATTCTATGTAGTTACAAGAACATATTGTATCACTTACTCATTGGGATTTGCACCTCTTTCTAATAGAAGTTTAGCAGTTCCTTCTTGATTGGCATGGCAGGCACAAAATAGTGGTGATTGTCCTTCATCATTTGGATAATCAACACATATTCCTACAAACATTAACATGGGGTTTAACCTAAGTTAACAAGTTCTCTGTCCTTCTACTTCTTATGAGTAGCACATTCAACATGCAAATAAATTTGGACACTGGATTTGGATTGACAGATCTAAATTTTCTTCTTTAAAGGTTTTCATTTCTTTATACTCTGGCATACTATGCTGACAAAATTACATTCTGTAAGTTTTTACAATAAAAATCTCAAACTCAAGAGATTGAAAACATGCCTTCATATAAAAGAGCAGATTGTATATTAATAATATTAAATGACTGTTCTCCTGACAGAGCCATTAATGATATAGCTTTAATAATTACCTTGTTGCAAAGATCTTTTCAGAGCCTTTTTGTTACCATTTCTAGCTGCATCATGAAGAGAAACTCCCAACTCATCACTACTGACCATCTTACCCAGTTTAACTGGTGAACTCATATTTGTTCAAAATCTTCAAATCAATACTGATTCTTATTGCTAAAATTACAGACAGCCTGAAAAATACTTAGTGACGTCATCAAACGCTTAGTTTCAGTGGAATTGCAGGAACCACAGACGTCTAATTGAAAATAGGCATGGTGCAAATTGATGCCGTCGGTGTCCCTGATACACATACAAAATTCAGAAAAACTTTTTACAATCCCTTTAGTTTAGTCTATGTGGTATTGACGTCGACGTCGGTTGACGATGTGATTGTAAGTGTAACTTGTAAGACAAAGTCAAATAATAGGCCTATACAGCTACATTGCGGTATGTGTCTAATATGTTAATATATTTATCACTTACAATATTATCCAATGTACAATTACAAAACGATTTATCTTTTTATACCATTCTATAATTCTTGAAAGGTCTGTTTACAAAAATAAAAACAATTTCACGTCAAAATGGAGAAATTTCCCGCGCAGTCAGCAGCGCCGCCTGCAAAATGGGAGGTAACTCTTAAAACATTCTTTTTACACTCGAAGCTGCCAACCTCTGGCTAACCCGAGGTCTCGGTGGCTTACTTGTTTGCGAACTTGTGTGGCAACTTTGAGGTCCCATGTTTGAGTCCCATTTGAAGCTTTTTCAAAAATTCCTTGTTTGCTAAGTCAAACACCGTCTTTTCTATCATTTTAAGTTTATAAAAGAGGCCTGTGAGATCTAGAATGGCCTAACCCTAGGCATAACCAAATCTCCACTTTAACCCCTTTGGGAACACTGGGGTATAAATTGTTTCGGGCCCATTTAAACCCCTGTGATATTCTTTTTTCTGGGCCATTTCGTGTCGAGAAGATGCGCAACGAAGTGCTCTTTCATTTCATATGCGGAAGCCATATCTTGGAACAAGAATCCTTTCGGGGGATAACCCTAATTGATTTTTCAAAACTAGGTTTAACCCCAACCTTAACCCTAGATAAACCCCAGGTCTAGTTGGCCTAGTGGTTTGCGCAATTGCGTGGTAACTTGGAGGTCCCAGGTTCGAGTCCCAGCTGAGTCTTTTTTTTGTCAAACACTGTCTTTTCTGTCATCTTAAGCATACAAAAGAGGCCTGTGAGATCTAGAAAGGCCTAACCCTAGGCATAACCAAAACGCCCACTTTAACCAACTAAATACTTTCCAAGACACCGATACCCAAATTTCTATCAAATGAACAAAAATGCCCTTCATATTATTCACAATGGTAAAAGGCTACTTTTGCCGAATTTGGATTACATTTTTCTAATTCGATTATCGGTCCGATCGCATTCCAAAGTCTAGGGCCCATATTCAACTCGTGAAAGTCAAACTCATCCGACGCCAATTGGAATCACATTGATGAACCCTTGAATTGTACAGACGTTGCATTTTTTCCAGAATAAAACTATTCTTGAAGGTCGTATAATAAGAAATGAACAATATTAAAATAAACTTTATTAAAAAAAAATAGAATGTTATTATTAACAGCAAAAATACTCTTAAATACGTGTACATAAACAAACTTCACACATAGAAACAAAGAAATCAATTAGTTTCGATAATGAAAAAATATGAATATTATTATTGCACATATTTTCTGTCAAAAACAATTCAACCTGAGCAGAGGGAATGCAAAGACATAACTAGCTCGTCATTACCGTCACTATCAAAAACATTCAAGCTAAATTATTCCTGCTTTAGCGATTGTCTCATAATGATTTCCTTGAATTACAAATATGGGGCAAGAAATAGGAATGGTGCTTATAGAAATTACATGTGGTCACTACAGTTGTGTAGCGAGGATTTCATTGACTCATCTTCTGGCAAGCTAATTTAAACCAACATTGACATCAAACAGTAGACTTGAATTTTCGAGATAAAAGAAGAATGAGATATTTTCTATAATTCAGTCTACCATTGGGAATGGTTGAACCAAGTCCACTAGCCAATACCCCAAGAAATGTCTTCATTCGTCAAGTACAGCCACTGCTTCCATTGTTCATTGGCACCATCTCACAACCATGACTCTCTTAAGGCAAATATTTCAAGTAGAACAGGTAGCTCATTTTAAGATTCAATGCTTCACCGAAAGCTCACCAATCTTGGGTTCCATGGCGCATCTTTGGCTCTTGGCTCAACCAGGATTCATAGCTCACATAGGGTCTTTAAGCTCTTAAAGTGGCTGGTAGCTATTTTAGGAGATTATAGCCCACATAAGCTTATCCTAGGCTCACAGCTTTTCTTGGGAGGTCATAGTTCATCAATGCCTGAAAGCTTTGCCATGCTTCAACATTGATATCTCTTAAACCAAGTCTGTCATACCGATGACGCATAGCTCGCACATGACTGTTAGCTTTACCAAGGGTCATAGCTCATTAACATCTCATAGCTATAACATGACTCAACCACGACTTCTCTTGATCAAGTCTACCAAACCAATGACTAAGAGCTCATCCAAAATCTCATAGCTTAAACCAAGTCTGTCATACCGATGACGCATAGCTCGCACATGACAGTTAGCTTTACCAAGGGTCATAGCTCATCAACATCTCATAGCTATAACATGACTCAACCATGGCTTCTCTTGATCAAGTCTACCAAACCAATGACTAAGAGCTCATCCGAAATCTAATAGCTTAAACAAAGTCTGGCATACCGATTATTCATAGCTCACCCAAAACTCATAGCATAAACCAAGAATAGCATAAACCAAGCGTAGCATACCAATGACTCGTAGCTTACCCAAAACTCATAGCTTAAACCAAGTCAAGAATACCAATAACTCATAGCTCATCAAAAACCTCATAGCGTAAACCAAGTCTAGCAGATCAATGATTCTTAGCTCACCAAAAAACTCGTAGACTTCACCAAGCATAGCATATTAATGACTCATAGCTTAAACCAAGTCTGGCATACCGATGATTCATAGCTCACCCAAAACTCATAGCATCAACCAAGCATATCATAAACCAAGTATAGCAGACCAATGACTCTTAGCTCACCAAAAACTCATAGCTTTCACCAAGCATAGCATATTAATGACTCATAGCTTAAACCAAGTCTAGCATACTACGACTCATAGCTCATCAAAAACTTCACAGTGTAAACCAAGTCTAGCATACCGCCATACCGATGACTCATAACGCATCCAAAAACTCCAAACATCACTTCATACACAGCACAAATAATAATTATGACCATGATTATAAATTATAAGAATAAATATAAAATTACTGCATTTTCTTTCTCCTGGATGCAACATCCTGTGGTCTAACTACCAACAAAATCAATCCAACAGTACAGAAGATAATGGAAAGTATACCTGGACCAGAATGAGAAAATTCTAACGATATCCCTGCTATAAAAGACCCTAACATTCTAGCTATGGCCATAATACTTTGCTGTAAACCCATCAAGGCACCTACCCCGTGGTTTTTGGCGCGTTCTAATGTCAACGTCACTGTAGCCACCCTAATAACAGCAGTAGACAGACTTAAAAAAGGTAAAAGTATGAGTAAAAACCAAATATTGGGAGATAAAATCAAAAATATTAAAGTAAATGTTAAAAGGAATGTCATATGTTTGATTAATTTATAGTCATTTTTATAGAAGTTAGATATACGCCCTACGAATACACCGATAACTGTAGACGATAAGGCACTGTAAGAAATAAGATATCCGTTTGTTTTAGCACCGATATCAAACGACTCTTTCACCATAAGAGAAAAATTGCTTCGAAACACTATCACAGAGAAACCGAGCAGGAATTTGATTAAAAACCAGTCCCATAAATCTTTCCAATCTATTTTTTTGATGGAATTCAGAAATAGTCTAGGACTAAAGTTGATCTCATCTGAGTTGAGTTTTCTAAGGGAGATAACTGAATCATTCCGAGTTAATTCTGGATGTGTGTAAGACTTGACAGGTGGCAGTAATGTCCAAATTATAACTGAAAATAAAAAAAATAAAATCAGTCCTCTATGCAAAACATAAGTTGCTCAATATTAGTAGCTTGCTCGCTAATCTGAAGGTCCAGTGTTCAATCAAGGCATAGGTCAAGATAATACCTTTAAATTTTTCAACCCAGTTTACCCATGTAAAAATGTCTAGTTCTTCAGATTGGACAATAAACCCGAGGCCCTGTGTGCTACAGGCTGTGCACATCAAAAAATATAAAATAGGCTAATGCCACTTGGCAAAATTACCCTCATTGCACACTGCAGGGTGTTGCCCAATAAGGTTCAGAAGAGTAGGAGGTAAAACTCGATTCATTTCATTTTCATTTCATATTTTTCAGCCAAGAGTTCCGCGTATATGATAAAGAAAGAAGCAAGTTGTTTGATTGGACACAAAACTTAAATCCTGCTGCATGCTACAGTTCGTTAACTTCAATGTTCCCTTGTCATGACACTGCGTTTCATTTTAATATAATTTGAATATATAATACCTATACTTACGACTATTAAGAAAAAATATAAAAGCTGCACTAATTCCAACAATATTAAAACCATTAGGCCATTCAGCAATATGTCCCCCTATCATAGGTCCTATTATAAAACCCATACTAGACACAGCATTAAAATGTCCTAACACTGTATTTCTATCTGAATTAGGCATAATATCAGCTAAATAAGATTTAGACAAGGCTTGGCTGTGCTTAAAAAAACCTGAAAGAAGACAATAAGTTGAAATAAATTTAATTTTCTGTTCCTTAAAAAGAGCAGTAAAAGGACAGTAACATTTCTTTCATAAGGATCCTTATGTGCACAGCATCTGAAGAGCTTAAAGGGATTGTAAAGAGGTTTTCTAATTTTTATGTGTATTTGGGACACTGATAGTATCAATTTGCACCATTCATCAGACTTCTGTTGTTCCTGCAATTCCACAAAAAAGAAGTGCTTTCAATGACTTTAGATCACTAATCTAAAATTTGCTTTATCCTAGAAGGCTCTTTAAGATATCTAACACGTAGAATTGCAGAACCACAGGCATCCGGTTGAAAATTGAAACGGTACAAAATTGATGCTATCAGTGTCCCGAGAAACAATTTTTAGAAAACCTCTTTACAATGCCTTTAATAATTTACTATGTCAACACGTATGACCTTCAATACTGACACAAGGTGAAAAAATCTGGTATTGCTACCTGTACAAGGTTGAACCCTAGGCCTTTTGGTGAAAACCTCAGAAAATATACAAGAAATGAAGAAGATCTCTACAAACCTGAGGGAAACCTGGATAAAAATAACATGAGCATGGAGGAAGACATCCCTAATAAACCATATCCAATAGCAGAAAAAAATAATACCACTACTATACTTAATCTTCTATCAAAACTATCACTCCAATTACCCTGAAATATATTAATTCCATTACTATACTTAATCTTCTATCAAAACTATCACTCCTATTACCCTGAAATATAATAATACCATTACCATACTTAATCTTCTATCAAAACTATGTCTCCAATTACCCTGAAATATATTAATACCCTTACTATACTTAATCTTCTATCAAAACTATCACTCCAATTACCCTGAAATATATTAATACCATTACTATACTTAATCTTCTATCAAAAATATCACTCCAATTACCCTAAAATATATTAATACCATCACTATACTCATTCTTCTATCAATAATATCACTCGTATTACCCTGAAATATAATAATACCATTACTATACTTTATTTCATATCATTACTATCACTCCTATTACCCAGAAATATATTACAAGTAATACCATTACTATACTTATCATTATATCAATACTATAATTCCAATTACCCTTAAATAGTAATAAAATACTATAAAAATACTTAATATGAATCAAAACTATCACTGCAATTACCCTGAATTATCATAATACCACTGCTATACTTAATTATCCATCAATATGATCATTCCAATTATCCTAAAACATAATAATACTATTACCATAGTCTTCTATAAATACTATCACTCCTATTACCCTCAAATATATTAATACATACTATTACTGTATACGACTACAATACACAGTACAATTACTGTACTTAATATGCTATCAAAACTATCACTCCAATTACCCTGAAATAATATAAACCATTACTATATACTTAATTTCATATCATTACTACCACTCCAATTACCCTAAAGCATAATAATACCATTACTACTTTCTTCTTTCGATACTATCACTCCAATTACCCTGAATATGTGTGTTCTGCAGTAAAATCTTGAAATGCATTTTGAAGAACAATTACCGTAACTTATTTCTGATATTTTTAAACATTAAAAGTTTCATCCTTGAGTGCTTAAAATAACCATACCACTCGGTTCCATCATCCAAATAATTTAGAGATTTTAAAAGGTTTCATCCTTGAATGATAATAGACAATTTCACCAAGTTTCGTCAAAATCCGTCATGGATTGCAAATGGACATTGGTGACCATTATTATATGTTTTATACTTTATTTTTGAAACTGGGTCCTAAAGATTGATCATTAATCATCAATATAGGCCTACATGTAATTTTAAGCTTGATTTGCAATGCTGTGATAATCATACTGCTGATCAAAGTCCACATTAATTGGTTTTAACACTAGAGACAACAGCTTGCTGTATTTTATTGATATATAATACTATGATGTATCATTAATTTAATAACATATAAAATAATAAAATACAGTTTCATATTTTTATACTATATCTTTTAAATGAAAGACTAAACCAACTTTTTGACCTTTCTTGATTGGTCACTCATTGGAATCCGGCTCTTAAACTTTTCAAATTTAGCTTGAATTAATTATGCACATATGAGACGAACTAGTATTTTTTTAAGTCTTTAGAACACCTTTACTTTCTATTCATATAAAAATTACAACTACAACTTTGGCATAAGAATCTGGTTTTAAAAGAATTGCTGGCATTGCAAGAACCACAGACTGTAATGTGGCAAACAGAAGTTATTGTCAATATGCATAAAAAAGCCAATCAAGTTCTTTTGAATCATTATTAAGGACATCAACAATCTAACTTACAATAATTGGACCAGAGAATAACTGAACTCCACCATATACAGATCCTGAAATATATTGATACATAACAATTAAATTACATATTATTTTTTAAATTCTATATATTATGCTCTGATACAAACATCCTAGAGAAAAATTTACAGTCATGAGGGTATTTATCTTTATGACTATATCGGCCCCATGTAAGCTTATAGTTTCTATTTTGCTTTGTGTCAAATGCAACGCGCACTAGTATAACTATCAAACATTGATTGAATTTTGTATTAGTGCTGGTATACCAGTGAGTTGATGTATCGCGATATAACATTTCAGGACACACATTATGTATTGCGAGGTCGTGTATTGATACTTGACGATAACTCTGATTCCTTAACCAATGGGGATATTATAAGTTTTTCTCACTGACTGAAACTGTTTATAAGACAGTGGATGTTAACCACTCAAATCAACTAACTTACCAAATATCATAGTTACAAAGTTATGAATAAATATACCTTTGAAACTTTGAAGATAAAATGTTAATTTTTGTCCCATTACCCAATATTGAAAATCTATGATACTAATAGACTACCTAAAAAACCTGCCATGGTTGGTGATGCTCCCATTTCTCTTGCATGTGGTAATATTAATGGTAAAACCATACTAACTCCAAATAAATCCTGAAAAATAACATATTGGTAAACTATTGCCAGTTGTTGTGTTATTTATGAAACTATCAGCGAGAATACCGAAACTGTCACTTCAAAATTCTTATTTTGTACAGAGACAGATGAATATCATAATTTTACTGCCTTTCCCTTGGTTTGCTGCACATATACCCTGAACTGCGTAATATTGAGAGAAAACATGAAAATAAATAGTCATACCATGAATCCTGAGAAATAGATGATATATTCAGGTGATATAAGTCCATAATTTACTTCTTCAGATGGTTGACAAACAAACTTTCGCTTCTTCATTTTGTAAACATTCGATTCCACGTCCCATTAATTCAGGAGCAGACAACTCTCGCGTAATCAGACCACAAACATTTAATTTCTCAGGTTTTTTTTATAGACTTGGCTCAACCTAATCAATCCTACCTACAGGCCTTATAAAAGTTGAAATGAAATGTTGTAATCTTTCTTTTATAAGTATATTTTAAGGGATTATTCGACATTTTGCAAAAAAATCAAAACTTTGAAAGTTTGCAGACCCTGAACATTTTAAAACATTTTACTCGCAAAATCGACAATAGATAGTAAAATAAAATAGTATACTATTGTTTATTAAAATTTTTTCGCCTATAGAGCCATGTTAGACAACATTATTTTTAAATCTAAGTTAAGGTAGCCTACATGTAATCAAAATGAAAAGCAAGATGAAACTATTGTTGTCAGATAGTTTATCAATAGACAAGATTTACCTCCCTTTGACCAGAAAAACTTCATAGTACCCTTGGAAATAAAGTAAACCCTTAACTACTTTGTTTTGAAAAATATGTATTAATGTTATTAGAATAAAAAATGGAAAGGCAGAGGGCAAAAAAAAAAAGCTATTTGAGAAGGATATTGTATAGAGAATGGTTTTAAAATACTATGTTTTAGACCTACAGTGAAAATGAAATTTCACGATCCACATGCCTAAAATGAGCTATTTTTTCATAGGGACCCAAATTCTAAAAATAAGAAGAGGCAAACTGACCACAAGGGAATAGGTCACAGATATGTTTCTAAAGGTCACATTAATTTGATCACAAGGTAAATTAGTCACAGATATATTTTCACAAGGTAGGCCTAAATTGGTCACATCAATTTGATCACAAATTAAATGGGTCACATCAATTTGATCACAAAGTAAATTGGTCACATCAATTTGTCTAAGATCATTGGTCACATTAATTTGATCACAAGGTAAATTAGTCACAGATATATTTTCACAAGGTAGGCCTAAATTGGTCACATCAATTTGATCACAAATTAAATGGGTCACATCAATTTGATCACAAAGTAAATGGGTCACATCAATTTGATCACAAATTAAATGGGTCACATCAATTTGATCACAAAGTAAATTGGTCACATCAATTTGATCACAAATTAAATGGGTCACATCAATTTGATCACAAAGTAAATTGGTCACATCAATTTGTCTAAGATCATTGGTCACATTAATTTGATCGCAAGGTAAATTAGTCACAGATATATTTTCACAAGGTAGGCCTAAATTGGTCACATTAATTTGATCACAAATTAAATTGGTCACACCAATTTGTCTAAGGTCAATTGGTCACATTAATTTGATCACAAGGTAAATTAGTCACAAATATTTTCACTAGGTAAATTGGTCACAGTTATTTTATCACAAGGTAGGCATAAATTGGTCAAATCAATTTGACCAAAAAGTAAATTGGTCACAGTTATTTTATCACAAAATTTCCACAAAATTTAGCTATTAGAAATCAATGGGGACGACGTTCGCCAGCAAACACGAAGTACGGACGGAACAATAATTGTACGCCTGGTCATATTTGGACAATATGAATTGTATTTGCTGTTATTTCCAGACATACCAGTCATAATTATAATGACTTTTTGACCAAAGTCAGCAGCACAATAAAATTACATTTGACTTAAGGCCTACTTTGAAATTAAGAAACGAAGTCAGTCTAGTTCAGGTGTGGGCTGAGAAACCAAGTTCTCATTGTTACATGAGATATGGTAATGTAAATGATTGCTTGCAGCTTAAAAACGAACCAAAACATTACATTATTACACTCTTAAGACTTCATTGACCGGCTTCTATTGAATAACCGACCTGTATATGACGTCACTCACCACGCTAAAACTCCGCTTTGTAATAAACCAAATGTAAATAAAGTTTTTAACGTAACATTATATAATGAGGATTTTGAT